GAATACTACTTAGACTTAATTATTAATAGAGAAACCCTATACCTTGTTATGTTTCAAGCTTGTATGACTGAACTTGATATTTGAACTTGAGTGCCGACCTGGTCCCGTAAAGCTGTGACGCAGGTACGAAGTTCATGACCACGATGAAATGGTTTCGTCCCCTTCTACAGTTTGCCTTTGTGGTTCTGTGTGGGACGTGGTCAGTACAACCTGTGCAAGCTTCTATTCTCCATGTAACTTATTTTCATCCGCACTTAACTCACCTGTTTTGTCCTACATGTACCCATGTATGACAATGTGTGTTCAGTTCGTTTTTTGCCGTTTGAATATTTTCTGTTTACTCTCAGACTAACAAAGACCTTTTAATCCGTATAGTAGTGGACGGTATAAAGTGTGTGAAAGTAGTTATTTGAATTTTTAAAAATGAGATAAGTAGCTGAAGCTATCATTCAAGACTGAAATGTTAAGTTAAAAGTTTTGGAAAAAAATTTGCCCACCTTCCACAGAATACCTTTGATGTTTTGGCTGATACGAAAGAGCAACTATGATGTGATTGACCAAAGTCAAATTGTTGATGGGTTTATTGACGTCTTACTCTTTGTTCTGCAGCTTAGTCAGCTGACTCAGATTGCTGACGTAAACGGAACGGCAGAGGGAAAAAAACATCCGAATGGATCTTCTTCTGTAGACGTTCTTGTATTCAGAAAACCCAACTTACCAAGTAGAAGGCAGCCATGTAAATTTTTTGTTGGTTACATTTCCATTTTGGGAAAGAAAAACAACTGAAGAGAGAAAGGTAGTCCCTTGTGTTAAAACATCATACGAACACGTGTGTAATGTTGAATGTCTAGCCTTCATCGACGTAGTCCCAGTATCGGTACGATTCGTGAGCTGCATATTATATGCAAATATTATGGCATTTAATATGATATTTCACTGGATAGAAGCACCCATACTTTGTTCAATACTAAGTATACACTGATATTCCAGACATCGTAAATTTATTGATTACTGAAAAGTATACTGTAGATTTAGCAAAAATAAAAGGCACTTATGGTACAAATTATTTTTAAAGCTGTCATTTTACTATAACAATATTAATACCCTATAGATGAAAATGTTACAAAAGAGTCATCATAAATGCATAATAATGAATGATATCCTTGGTCCGAACAATAAATAAGTGAAGGCCTTCACGAAACAATATTTCTCCTTTGAGTAGTTTTTAAGGGGGTGGGGGCTTTAAAGATGCATATTACATTTGCTAAGTGAATAACCGTTCATCATGAATGTCGTAGACACAGTAGACACAGTAGGGCTAATAATAGCTGGAACATGAGCTTGATTCTGTCTCTAAGGTAATGTGGACAAACTTCAAGACAACAAACCCAGTTCCTAATAAACTGCAATATGACAGCAACACTATCTAATTATATTGAAGACAATAAAACTAACTTCTCACCATGATTGCTTTGAAACGGACCCCCGCTACATAATGTAACAGTCCTTCAGATTTTCTACGTATGCAACAAACGTTGTCACGTTTATTTTACAACAAAGAGTAAATGGCACGTATTGCTTCTTTGATTACATATGTATTTACATATTAGTCTGTGGGCTGACTTGTTAAGGCAAGGACTCCAGTAAACACTCTGGTTACAGCATGGTGTGTACAGGCTGGAGTATGGCCGTACTGTGCGTTGTCTTGGCTCTCAGCTTCTCTGGTCAAATTCTTGGACAACAACAGGCGTCGTTAACAGCAGCAAGAAAGACAAATGCAACCATGTACATCTTCAATCAGGCGTGAGTATATTCATAATGGCATACACTTCTTACTTTATTTTATAACCTTACTTTAGTCGAGGGATGGAACAGATGCATGCATGAACAGCAGCAATAAATTTGTTTATCTAGTCCGTAGGTTTTATATGAGATCAATAAAATGTTTGTGCTTCCTAGAAATGAATAGTATGCATATCATAAATTAATCGTATGAAATTTCACGCCTGGTGTTTCCACTGTGACTTGTAGAAAGTCATTCTAGGACTAATTTTTCCAGACGTTGGCATGACCTTGTTCCCCTCGCTCCTGGTTGGATCCAGGCGCATCAACTTCAGCAGGAAACTGAACATCGCCTAGAACATGTCTTAGAGAACATGAAAATGCAACTGGAACGTACAAGGACTATGGTTTCATTCGCCAAAGGTGAGATTGCTAGTTGTTAACAATTCGTTGTTTTTACGTAGACTAATATAATATGATATATTATATATGTACTTCCTACTACATATACAAATACTATGCAATGACATTATATCTTAAAAGAAAGAGTCACCTGGCAAATCAGATCAGAATTGGCAGGCATTCCGGAATCATAATGGTGATAAAGATACAATGTCATTTTTATGTAATCTTTCCTGATACCGGCATGTTCATTATGTTATTGTCCAAACTGCAGATATCGACGCCTGTCTGGCTAACCCTTGTCACACCAAGGCCACCTGTACAGATAACCCCGCTCCTGGTCTGGACGTGACTTGTACCTGTAAGACTGGATATACAGGAGATGGTCTTGTCAGTGGAACTGGATGTTCCGGTATTTTTTTTTCTTTCCACTTTTTAAAAATTTTATTTAGTAAATTCTATTCTTTTTCCTTTTACCACTTGAGTAGCTATTTTCGTCTATCAAACTTAAATAACTACTTTCTTGATCTTTACTTAATATTACGACCAACAGATATAGACGCCTGCTTGGCTAACCCTTGTCACGCCAAGGCCACCTGTACAGATAACCCCGCTCCTGGTCTGGACGCGACTTGTACCTGTAAGACTGGATTTGAGGGAGATGGTCTCGTCAGTGGAACTGGATGTTCAGGTACTAGTATTACTTTTACACTGGCATATAGATTAACGCCATGCCACATTTAATGAAAATATGCATATTTTCAATCTTGTAATTTTCATGCCTTGTCTTAACATACACTTAGGTAATAATTGACATGTTTTACCATCCACAGACATCGACGCCTGCCTGGCTAACCCTTGTCACACCAAGGCCACCTGTACAGATAACCCCGCTCCTGGTCTGGACGCGACTTGTACCTGTAAGACTGGATATACAGGAGATGGTCTTGTGTCAGGAACTGGATGTTCAGGTATTACTTTCACACTGGTATAGATTAACGCCACATTTAATAAGAAATGTTCATATTTTCAATCTTTATGCCTTGTCTTTACACTGGTAAGGTAATACTTGCCAACGTCTTACCATCCACAGACATCGACGCCTGTCTGGCTAACCCTTGTCACGCCAAGGCCACCTGTACAGATAACCCCGCTCCTGCTCTGGACGCGACTTGTACCTGTAAGACTGGATATACAGGAGATGGGCTTGTGTCAGGAACTGGATGTTCCGGTATTTTTTTTTTTTAAATTTTATTTATTAAATTCTATTCTTTTTCCTTACCACTTGAGTGGCTATTTTCGTCTATCAAACTTAACTAACTACTTTCTTGATCTTTACTTAATATTACGACCAACAGATACCGACGCCTGTCTGGCTAACCCTTGTCACACCAAGGCCACCTGTACAGATAACCCCGCTCCTGGTCTGGACGCGACTTGTACCTGTAAGACTGGATTTACAGGAGATGGTCTTGTGTCAGGAACTGGATGTTCAGGTATTTTTTCTTTCCACTTTTTAACAAATTTTATTTAGTAAATTCTATTCTTTTTCCTTACCACTTGAGTGGCTATTTTCGTCTATCAAACTTAAATAACTACTTTCTTGATCTTTACTTAATATTACGACCAACAGATATCGACGCCTGTCTGGCTAACCCTTGTCACGCCAAGGCCACCTGTACAGATAACCCCGCTCCTGGTCTGGACGCGACTTGTACCTGTAAGACTGGATATACGGGAGATGGGCTCGGCAGTGGGACTGGATGTTCAGGTATTACTTTTACTGATATTACTTATCTTATTTAGTAAAACTGTGCATATTTTCAAACTGTCTTTACACTGATGAGGTAATGATTGCCATGTTTTACCATCGACAGACATCGACGCCTGCCTGACTAACCCTTGTCACGCCAAGGCCACCTGTACAGATAACCCCGCTCCTGGTCTGGACGCGACTTGTACCTGTAAGACTGGATATACGGGAGATGGGCTCGGCAGTGGGACTGGATGTTCAGGTATTACTTTTACTGATATTACTTATCTTATTTAGTAAAACTGTGCATATTTTCAAACTGTCTTTACACTGATGAGGTAATGATTGCCATGTTTTACCATCGACAGACATCGACGCCTGCCTGACTAACCCTTGTCACGCCAAGGCCACCTGCAAAGATAACCCCGCTCCTGGTCTGGACGCGACTTGTACCTGTAAGACTGGATATACAGGAGATGGTTTTGTTTCCGGAACTGGATGTTCAGGTATCATTTTTCCTTGAAATCTTTAATGTTTTATTGTAATTAATAAATTTCATTCTTTCTTTTTTTTTTTTGTTACCACTTGAGTAGCTATCTTTGTCTATCGGTCTATTGGTAATGATTAAGCATGAAGGTAGCATAGAGTTATCATAATATAGAGAATTATTATAAAGTATAAAGAATTATTATTGACTGGGGCAAAGTGTTGGTATAGTTTTAGGTACAGGAACGGATCGATAAACCGTTGCCCTCCACAGGCCCGGTTTTACTCATTTCTTTATTTTTCAGATTGCCATTTTCCATTTACGTACAAAGGAAAAACCTACAATTCCTGTACCGACGCCGACCATGACGCTCCCTGGTGTTCTTTCACCGCGTACTACCAGGGCAAATGGAAAAACTGTGACCTGGGTAAGTTCGTGATCACGATAAAATGTTTCCTTCTACAATTTGTCTGTCTGGTTCTGCGTGGGACTTGATTTTATTAAGTCTTATCATGATGTTTCTATGATTATGTGGTCTGTCGTCTGTTGATGCATTTTACGCACGTCTTACTTTTTTCAGATGATCTCAAACACCACGCGAGCGGAACAGGTATGTCCTGTTACTTTTTTTTTAAATTGCTTTATTGAACTTAAGACGTGCAACGAAAATTTTTAATCAAAGATTATTCTTTATATTCTTATAGTCTTTGTTTTACACTAAAACTGTTCCCTTTGCGCAAGCGCCTAATACTTTGCCCAGGCTCCAGCGAAGATCTGGGGTTTTCTGCCACACTCGGATGGAGTTGAACACTAGTGACCTTGACCTTGTTCTAAATGCTTATCCTTCTGTACCAATGCTGTCGCATATTGCCCCCCCCCCCCCCGAAATGCAGGAGAATATGTGTTGTTTAAGGTTTAAAAATACAAAATTTTCCAGGGGGAGCATGCGTCCGATCCAGCTCGCCGCCTCTTCAAACATTACTGAAAGCACTTGGGGGTGGCGGGACGCTGGTGTAATGCTCGCTTCATACTAGGCCATACTACTTAATAAAACAGTACATTGGCATTGGTCAGTTTTTCTTGAAAATTCAGAGACTCGAATCTGGCGCACGACAAAGAAAATGCAAGTCAATTTACTGTTAAGCGCTACCAACCGTCCTGAATTTAATGTTAATCGTTGCCAAGAGCTCCCCTCCCCCATGCAGAACCTCCAGAATGTATAAAGCACAAGTGCATGCAGTTGAAATACTATTTTAAATCTTATTCGTTCTGGAATAGGTTGCCTAGATGGGTACGTTTACCATGAACCTAGTCGCCTGTGCTACAATGCCTTTAACAACGAGACAACCTACAACGGTGCAGTCAGTAGGTGTTCTTCAGACGGGGGAAACCTTGCTATGCCGCGCGACACTGCAACCAACAACTTCCTCATCTATCTGAAAAATGTCGTCGACAAGAACGCTCGGTTCCGTATCGGGCTGACTGATGACCAACAGGAGGGAGTGTGGATGTGGGACGATAACGTTCCTCTGGGCGACTTCACAGCTTGGGGTCCGGGAGAACCCAACAACTACGTTCACGAGGACTGTGCCGAGTACACCCCCGGAAGCTGGAGCCCGTCCAACACATGGAACGATGGATTCTGCACGTTTGACAACAGGAAGTTCATCTGCCAAGTCTCTCCATCAGGTCAGTTTCACACTATCGACGTTTGCGCTTTGCAGTTTGAAAGTTTTGAGAGTTGTTGTGTACATTGCTGTACATTTTTGTCTAGTCTACTTTTGTTTGCACATATTTGTAGCATAACTTAAGAAGGCCTCTGGAAGACAAAAGCCAGGGTCGTTTTTGTCCTCCTGGCGGCTGTCCTTTGTTCTTACAGCTTTTTTATCTTTTGCCATGGACATGATAGGGTTCTAATTTTTTACCTAATCTCCAAGCAGATTCGGTGGAGCAAGGGGACTCTATGTCGACCGCCTGTATCCATTGGCCGCCTGTATTCAACGTTTGATAATTCTGCCCCCCTCTTCTCCAGGACAATGGCTAGAGCGGGATTCGTCATGGGTCCTAGACTCCGCCTGCACACCTTGGGTCGATGGGAACGGAGTGACATATGATGCCGCCAAAGCCTTTGATGGTAACATTGGGACCCACTGGAACCCAATCGGTAATGGCGCCGGCGAACGGTACTATAATAACTGGTACATCGTACTGGACCTCACTGCGTCCCACACTCTGACCCGCATCGCAGTCAACAACTACGGAGACATCGGCCATGACACTGCCGCCTTCACCCTGCAAAAATCTCAGGTCGGGAGTCCATACGCCTGGGCGGACGTCGTGTCTGTCGATAACGTGACCGGAGGGACCCGGCAGCGCCAGGAGTTCGGCAATTTCCGGGGAACAGCGCGGTACTGGAGGTTCGTGGTCACACGGACCCACTCGGGCTGGCAGCCATGGCTCCCTGAACTGGACTTCTTCGGAATCTCACGAGGTAAAGGAAAACATCATTACCTCCATGAAAAATGGAGGTATTGTTTTTAGCGTGTCTATGTGTGTGTGCCCGTCTGTCTGTCGGTGTGTCTGTCTGTGTGTGTGTGCTTCCGCAATGTTGTGGTGTACATGACTTAAGAAGGCCTTTATGGTTTGTGATGATATTTGGTATGTTGGTAGGTCTTAGAAAGACAAAGGTCAAGGTCGAATATGGGCCTCCTGGTGGCTGACCTTGTCACTGCAGCGTACCTTCCTTTTTTATCTTTTATCTTGAATGATGCCATGGTCTTGACTTTTTAGTGACAAATAGCTTTTCAATGACAAAAAAAATCCAATTTGACCGCCAGTTAAACCTCACTTCCTCCCAGCCTGCAGGGAGACCATTTTAACCTTCCTGTCAGTCTTCAGTGACACTAACCCCCCTACTTCATGTTCCTCCAATGTATTAGAAAATTGAAAGAGATATGACTGGTGCTACTGGATCGGTAGGTTTCCGTTCTGCTCGCCGGACGAAAGCAACTGCGGCGTGGGCAGCTCCGTACGGACAAATGTGGGAACTGTCACTACTGCTGGACGGGCCGGAAGATGCGTTTGCTGTAGTTAGCGGTTAGTCAGAATAGTGGCCCGCGTTGTCGAGAAATGTGAGCGGCGACGATCGAGGACTTACTGTTTATTTATTTCCTCATACCATGGAGGTAAACCTCCATGCTCATACACAACGAAATAATCAAATAGAATCAAATAATTAAAAAAATTGCAAATATGTCGGGGGAGGCAAGAAATCTGAATGTTTTTTCACGGGCCTCCCCCAAACGAAGTACATGTAGTAAATAATAGTAATTACGTTAACAAGAAAGCGTGATGCAGAATAACTAAAACGCATGATCTAGTAACTTAATGAGATTAAGTGTTGCTTTCAGAGGAGGAAGAGAAAACGTGCATTTAAAGACGAGTTGTGTCTATTTTGTTCCTGTGTTCTCCTGGAGAAACTACTAAGTGAGTGAGTGAGTGAGTGAGTGAGTGAGTGAGTGAGTGAGTGAGTGAGTGAGTGAGTGAGTGAGTGAGTGAGTGAGTGAGTGAGTGAGTGAGTGAGTGAGTGAGTGAGTGAGTGGGTGAGTGAGTGAGTGAGTGAGTGAGTGAGTGAGTGGGTGAGTGCGTGTTTGTGTAATTTATTTTCGTGTGCGTAGCATAACATATGTACACCGCTGCAGTACAGTGCCAAGCCGCTAGATTACCCATACTAGAAGTTGATTTAACCTTTGTCGTCCCAACCTCAAGCTACCTTCCAAACATCATAAAGATGCATACATGTATGCACAACACCACAAGTTATGACCGGTTACAAAGTGGCCAATCCCTACATACAGTGTAACTATTAGTAAACACATAACACATTCTAGGCGAAGGCAATGAGGGTTATCGTTGCCCAAATGAAATTAGAATATTTGAGCACGTCCGCTGTATTGTGCATAGCACAATACAGCCGAGCGGACGTGCTCAAACCGAATTCAGCGTAGAGCGTTGTCGGGAACCCCCATGCAGGCCCCCATTGTTTGTCTGGCGTCCAAAATTAGAATTTGGGTCACACAGACACGCTCTTGCAATCGCTCTTGCGCAACAGTGTTTTACTTTGTCCTGTACTTGAAGTTTAGATTTCAGTCTAGCCCTCAGACGACCATCTCAGTGAAGAGAAATGAATATCTTGGTCCTGACGTTGACGGCGGCGTTGTTTCTTGCGGCGGAGTCGGGCGGTGCGCGCCCCCCTCCCCACGGAAACTTCGCCGCCACGGCTCGGTACGTGCTGCACAACAACGGCTGGGGCAGTCTGGCCTCCACATCAACACACCCGCCTATCCAGGGGAAACCGTACGTGGATACCTTCTCCGTAAGGTAAAAAAATACTCCTGTATCTGTTGTTTATGTTCCCTGTAAGAGAATTATTGCTGGTTGTACAAAAAGGTTTGTACTAAAGTATGAATAGCCTCTACCACCAGGCTCCCCACGTTGGTCAAATAAGCTGTCAGATGAGAATAGCCGACCAGAGGAGTACAAATTGAACAAGAAATGACAGGTACATGTACTACTAGTATTCAGTCTACTGAGTCTATTTTGTTCTGGTCAATTATTCTGCTACTAGTATTTTTAGCACTGAGACTCTGTGAAGCCTGGTTGAGGCTACTAAATACTAGTACAGGTATATAGAAAATCCAAACGGGACGTGTGAACCAAGAGCTAGCCTGGTGACAGTTCTCTTCGGGTTGGCTTTATAAAGTTATTGGAGTGGCAGACGTGTTTTACCGGGCCTAGTCCTTCTGAAAGACTGTAGTTAAAGGGACTCGGGCTGAACAAAGGAATCGACTCGGTGTGCGCGGCTTGGGTTTTATGCAAATTGCTAAATCGGAACATGCGATACCCGGCAAATTGCCCTAGGGGACTGTGATACATGTAGCTTTAGATGTAAGATCGTGTACGTAACCAAGGACGTAACTAATAAATAGTTATTGTGAATCTTTTTGGGGGACTACTATATAAAAAAAAAATTCATTAGAAATGTTTACGTTTCAAATCGGGGCCGGGCGCACTTCCAGCTTTGATACCGACGTTCGCCGCGCACGTTCGCACCAAAAACGCATGCAAATGAGTCAAAATGACGTCACAGCTGGCAACGGTTTCCTGGCAACAATAGCCGAGTTCACTCCGAGTAGGAATTCTAAAGGTTCTTGACCTTATTTTTGATTAGCACGATATGCACTGAGTTCTCCTCTGACGCTCCCGGCCTGCAACGTTTTTGATGTAGTACGCTAACAAGTCAGCAAAACTTGAAATATTCCGTATACGGTAAATTTGAAATACTAAGTATGCGATTTCTTGATTTCTCTCTTTGAGTCACTCCCACCGTGACTGTAGATCTAGATCTGATGAGCGAATGTATGTTGGTTTGTTCCAGTGACGGTCCAGTCGGTAACAGTACCGGGGTGCCCTACCTTTTCTTCAGTCCGCTGGAGAGAACCGTTCAAGACCTGCAGGCCGACCCTTTTGCTACCCTGTTGGTGTCAGGTAATGCATTATCAACTAAAAAAAAAAGTAACATTTGGAAAGCAAATGTATAATGTTAACCTTCACATGGTCTAGCCTAACCAAGATAATTATGCAAAAACGCATTGTATATGTTAGTTAACCAAATCAAATTTAAGTTAATCAAATTCATATCCAGTTGCTTGTGTAACTTTTTTTGGGCGTAAGTAAGTCTCATCTTTTGATTCTACCCATAAATAGCTAGAATCAGCATACGATACGATACGATACCAACGCTGGTGTGTTACGCCGAAGGGCGGTTATACTGGCTATCCCAGTGGACAGTATTGATTTAAGTTCAACTTACTACCAGAAAGTTTACTTTGAAAATCCAGTTTTGCGGCCCAAAAATTGCATCGGACGCCTTTTGGTTGATGCTATTGTCTCCATACGATACACAGAGGTCCAGAGCGGGTACTGCGCCAGTGTGAAATGGGACCCCGAAGATCCCCGATGTGCCAAAGTCCACCTGTCGGGTAACGTCGTGCCTGTGCCCGAAGACGAGACCGACTTTGCGATGAAGTCGCTGTTTTCCAGGTAAGACCGCATTAAATAGATGTCATAATACTACGATAGTCGCACACTGATGTTTGTGTGGTTTTAGGAAAAAATAACAACGGGAGAGTGGGAAACAGACGTAACAAAAAAGGGCATAATCATGGATTAACAGTTTTATTGCTTTTAGTCACATGGAACAGAATTCCTGAGGATTTGATTTTACGTTGTTGTTTTTGAAAAATTATTTTACCTGAACGGCGGGAAGATGTGAAAATAGATATACGTTTAGTGATGACTGAAACAACACTCAACACAACACAATGTTTACTGAAATGCTCAATTGCCCGCCTGTTGAGCTGTGATTCAATGCTGAAAAGTGACGAATTAAAATGAATTGAAGTGCTGTTATATGCTGTTTATTAAAATAATATATTATTGAATTTTATTACCACAGGCACCCCATTATGGCTGAATGGTACAAAATGCCCGATCACAAGTTTTACTTCGCCAAAATGGAGATAGAAGATGTCTTCGTCTTGGACTTCTTCGGCGGTGGACAGAGTGTTTCTCTTGAAGATTACTTCAAGGCCAACCCATGAGAACATGTGTAACCGTGCTCGCACTCCCTCTGCCTGTTTTGGTGCAAACTGCAACTGTTTATTTGTACATGTTCCGCACAAGCCATTTCTGTACGCACAGTCATGCAAGATCTAGTATTTGTAGTTACATATGGACCTTCCAGTAGTTAGTAACTTGTAAAATTATTGTAAATACTCGAAACGTAATTGCCAATGTGAAATGTTTGGTCTAGTATTTGCATTTAGTTACATGTTGACATTACAATACTTACATGTTACTAACATGTAAAACTATTGTTAACACTCAGAACGAAATTACAACTTTACTGTATACTAGTATTTCAACTACATTTGCTGAATACATGTACATTACACCAATGAATGGACCTATCACATTATTACGTCACATTTTGTTTACCTGTTCTAAAGACCATTCTAGAACGGGCAGTTAAAGAATAAAGATCATTTCAAGTTTTCAAAGTCAGGTATGTTTGATTTTTGCTGCGTCTAGTTTTGTTGACACAGCATTACATGCCGCATGGGTGATTTAGTTGTGACATTAGACGAAAGTAGTACTGTATAAAGACTGTATTAAGTCTAACGCTACACAAACACACACATGCGCTACGTCGATTGACCGGCATTCATTGCGGTAAGCAAACTGTGACGTAATAATGTGATAGGTCCAATGACTAGTTCATTGTCTTTGGTAAGTTTGTATGACATGTAGTTTTCTTTTCTCGTCTTTAATTCTCTGTTATGTAAATGTTACCTTATGTGAGCCACTTGAAAATACATAGACAAAATCAGAAATAATCATAGTTCATAATAATGGCTAAAAAAATGACAAAAACGCTATGGCAACTTCGATAGCTTGTTGGAATTCAGATAGTCGATATCAAAACACACTGCGTCGATGTCACCAATTTTCAAGTTCTCAAGACTTCTGAAAAACATGAAAAGTATCTTACCTGCTTTTAATAAGATTGCAATATGAAAAGTATCTGATAGACTGTGCGAAGTATTATTTTAAGTCTAATTGGCGTTAAGTGCTATGAAAATTCTAAAATTTTGCATCAAACATTTTATGCCACCACAAACGAACAGGAGAATTTGAACCTTCCAACGTTGAAGCGTTGAACCAACAAGAGCCGACCTCAGGGAACAACCAATCAGAGAGCGCACCAGTCACATTAACTTAAAAAACAAAAGGTCAATTGTTATAGCGTAAAAGCATCACAATGAACCGACTACAATGTATACCCGTACGGGTGAATTGTTCAAACCACTGTGATGCATGAAAGTCGTCACCTTATATGACCCTGCGCCGTTCTTCGAACGTTCGGAACGCCGCCGTTGGGCTCATGTTCGAAACGCCTGGCCGTCTCGTTACCTAGCAACAGTGTGATACAAAGCTTGGGGCAGTCATCAAAATGCGTTGGATAGGAAGGTAAGTTTGTGGATGATACTGCTATGTTTTCTTCAACAACGATGCCCCCCCCCCAACACACACACACAATCGTCTAAAAATCGTCAAAACTGGTCTCCACGCCTTTTCTGTGTTGTTATATGCAGAAAAGAATAACACACAACTAGGGACGTTGAATGTAACCAGATGAGTAAGTAAGTAGTCTTCTTAGTTATAACCCCGTGCGCACCCGTAACCACGCCCCCAGCGTAGGCATGTGAAGTTACAATATGACCACACCCATGGTGAGGATTTCTTCCTCAACACTTTCGTACATTAGGAGCCAATAACCACACCCCTTCCTTCTTGGAACACATCTTGTAACCACGCCCCTCGCACATACATACAGTGGAAGTCAGCAAGTTGTGTAGACAGCATGTTGGTAGGACGATAGGATGGATATAATTGCATACAGATCTTAGCAACAAGACGGCACGGCAAAAGCGGAAAGGTAAAAAAACAACTACATGATAATCGAATCAGAATCTCGAGTCAGGTTCTTTGGAACGTGCAGAAAAAACATAACGCTGATTTGAAAAACTCACTTGTGTATGCTGACAGTGACACGCCAAGATCACTTGTCATCTGAAATTTATCATATACTGCTTGGTTCGGAGACAACATGGAAGCCGATCATTTTCTTATGGCATCTGGAGACCAGGTAAATAAAACTTGATTGTAGTGTTTCGGGCGGTCAGGTTCCTTTTGTTTTACTAAATTTTTCACACCATCTTTTCTTATGAGTGTGTGGTGGTGGTGGTGGGGATGGGCATTTGGGGTATGATACTGTAATAAATATTAAATATTCTTGTTCAATTGATGTTTATTATCGTTGCCTGACAATTGCATCTTTACCTTTCAATATTTTTCTATCAAACTTGTGACACATCCCGTGGTGTCTACCAGGTGCCTCGGATGCCGGTTTTCTTGAGGAAAGAGGTGTTTGACTCGAGTCAAGAGGGACATTCACGACTGATCACCAAAGCACACCCGAGACAAAATTCGGATCAGACGATGGATCCCGAAAGGAGATTGTTTGAGGTAAGGCCATGTTGATTTGATTATATGGATGACATCCTCTGGGAACCCCAAAACTGATGCGAGCGTGCGAATAAAAAAAAGTTGCCGTCATTATGAAGTCTACAAAATGAAGGTTGAACCAGTGACTAAACAGAGTATGGCATGGTGAATGTTATACTTTTCATTTCAGTTCCATTCACTTCACATTTTCTTCTTTTTCCTTTGAAGAATTGAACTTGGAATTTTGCGACATTAGTACCCTTATCCATTGGTTTTGCAATGTTTATGCCAAAATGACACAATTCATTTCGCTGATGTGTATAAATCGTATCTGTTTTCAGGTGGAGAGAATTCGTGGTAAGAGGTACCAGGACGGAAAGGCGTATTACCTGGTCCGCTGGGCGGGATACGGCCCTGCAGACGACACCTGGGAGCCGTTCAGCAACCTGACCAGAGTTCTGGACCTCGTGGTCAACTTCGAGGTCCGGTACGTGCTGAAGAAGACCCCTGACGTCGGGGACGCCGCGCTTGAGCACGCCAAGGCCATCGTGTACAAGCGGCTGTACCGTCTGATCGACGGGATGGAGTTTCTCTCTGACGACGACGAAGAAGAAAACAAGGAAGAAAGTTTCTACGAAGAAGAAGACGCCGATGCTTTGGTAGCCACCGGATTGCCAGAAGACAGCACCTCGACACAAAAACCAAGCGACATGCCGGTACAAGGAGAAGGCAAATTGAATACAAACGAAGTCTTCCCGGTTGGATGTGTATGCCAAGATGTTGAACAAGAAGTGAGCTTTGAACAAAATACGGCGGAAAACCAGCCAGATGAAGACGAGGGGATGCCCTGTTTGTTCCAGGCTCTTCAATATCCGAGAGTTCAGGAGAAGAAGGAAGAGGAGGCAACGCCAGAGAAAGGAACAGAAGAGAAGTTGTTGAACCTAGCCGGAACGGGGGATTACAGTACGGGTGTCCAGGAAAAAGAGCACATGGAAACAGACAGCGCAACTGACCAAGATTACAATGCCACCCCGCAGAAAAACTACTCCAAAACGGCGGAGGAAGAGCGGGAATCCATGCAAGACCAGGCGGCAGCAGGGGACGAGCCACTGGCGATCCCTCCCGTCAAGAAAATTCTTCTTCCCAAGAAAGCCCGCGATGCCTTAGCGTTGATAACCAGGAGGTCCGTCCGAGTTTTGGCGAAGATGACCGAACACGAGTCGACTGGCACGTCGGAAACCCACACGACGAGTACCGAACCCGCGTCGGTAGCGAAGCCGACCGTCACGCCCAAGAAGAGCTTTTCAACGCCCGACTTGAGACAAAACAAGAAGACACCGTCCAAGAGGAAACCGACACCGCCCCGACAGAAGAGAGACTTGTCTCAAACCTCCAAGGAGCGTTGCTCCCCGGGGAAGATTAGATCCCCGTTACGTCATACATACAGACCTCCGGCGGATGGGTACGAATACATCACTGTGAGGAAAGAGCATGGTCACGTGGCCATCATCTTTCCCGGGGACATGCCGCCACGAGCCATGCTGAGACCGGAGGTAATAAAGATGAAGATATTTCTTGATTTTCAATATCTTTATTTCCGCACACGGAAGTATTGTATTAGGTGGCCGAGTTGTGGGTTTGTTTGTGTGTCTGCTTGTCCTAAGATCTTCGGCTACATAGTGGATGGGAGGGGATTTTGACAGTTGGTAGGGAGGTCACGCCTTAAGGTGACCCAGGCAGCACTGTGGGTGGTCAGTAGCTGGTATATGGAGGAATTCAGGAGTCAAACACCACGTTTTCCTTCTGAGCGCAACTTTATCATTGTAGCAAAACTAAAGATAAGTAAGTTTTCTCATGCTGACCGATGCAACTATCACGTTTTTCCAACACTAAGAATCCATAGACCAGTTTACCTTTCACGGGTCACATGAACTGCTTACGTCACTGGAGGACATTTCTAGAAAAAAAAAAACGTTCTAGAACCGGCGTTCGCTTACAGTGCCCCACAGAGACAAAGAGACGCATTATGTCATGTAGGTGATATTTCAAACGCTTCAAGTACTAAGTATCAAGTGATGACGAAAATGTGTTAATAAATGGTTATAAAATGTCCGTATCAGACAAACATCCTCATCTAGAATATTTTTGCTTTGCTGCCCTGAAATTGCATTGCCCTTAACGTGTTCTCCTGTTGCCAGGCCTTTGCTGAACTGACGAACGCCCTCCGTGTGGCTGACTCCGACAACGACTGTAAGATCGTGACGGTTACAGGCTGCGGCGGCGTGTTCTGCGCAGGCGTGGACCTGACGTATCTGGTTGGTTCCGACTTGGCGGGCCGGAGGAACGCGGTGAGGAAGCATGACGTCAACAACATGGCGGAAAAGTTGAGGTAAGGTCGGGGTTATGAACCATAGACAGGTCCTGAATGTCAATCATAATCAGCAGTTCCACCAATGCACCAATGAGAGGTAATGAGAGAATGGCCGTATAGTAAGTGGGTCGACGTTTTCACGGAGGTAGGTGGGACTATGCATATGGGATCGACCTATTGCTAATAAGAAGACAAGAAAGAGTTGCCCTCAGACTGTAAATCACTATACGTTCGCAATGGCGGCAGGTGCAGCAAAAAAGAAAGTCGGAGAATTATTTGTTCACGGTAATAAGTTCGCGGTACATAATTTAATTTTGTGACCACGAAAACCACGAATATAAAAGTAACCCGAAAAAAATCGTGATTTACAGTACGATAGAAACACCGAATAGAAAGAATCAAAGAAAATTTAATTTTCGAGGTACTTTACGGTTTTCGTGGTCACTTCGAATTCTGTACCGCGAACGTATTAATATTGTGTTGTACGCATAGAAAGTAAAACAACAGAAGTCACAAATTTCTGCTGTTTTCTGCAGGGATGCGGTGGACGCCATCATCAGCCTGTCTAAACCCTTAGTGTCACTGGTGAACGGCTTGGCGCGCGGGTTCGGCACGGCGCTCGTGGCGCTGAGTGACATCGCGTACGCCAGCGAGCGGGCGGTGTTCGAGACGCCGTACGCCGCTCTGCTGCAGACACCCGAGGGCTGTGCCTCCCTCACACTACCCAGCATTGTCGGCCCCGCCATGGTAAGGCTTTACCTCACGGCCATAAGGCCACGTTGAATTGCTTTGATTCACCCGCGCAGGTACTCTCCAAGCAGAGGTTGTGGAGGAATGATCGTTACCTTTTTATATATGGCCGTTTTTTTTTTTGTCCTGACCCCCACCAACGCGGAGCTTCTCTAGCTAATGGATACTGCCTGACCAATTTGATACTGTCTTTTTGCCACCGATAGGGATCTGCTTGGAGATTATCGCGCAGGCATATGCATGGATTTTCGTCCGTTTCCAAATAAAAGGGAAGTTTTCGACCATACTGTAAATCGTACAAAGCAGATGCAAAATGAAGTTATGCCGTAAACTGCAAAATCAAAAATGTTGTAATGATACTTTTGTCAAAGTCAATTCAAAAGGAAAGGCGCCGCGGACTTTCTGCAACCTATGATCCACTGCTCACGGAGTCACGTGTGTTATCTGCGTTGGATCATGGAAGCGGTGGATTGCTCAGTCCTTGACAAAGACTGGAGTTTACAGTCGAAAGTTTGGGTAAGTCCAAATTTTGCGTTGGCTATTGCAGTTCAAACTTGCTTCAAAATCATAACATGGTTTCTCTTTTATGCACATGCAGGCCAAAGACATGTTGATGATGGGCAGGACGCTGTCTGCAGAGGAGGCGTACAAGGCCGGACTCGTCTCACAGGTCTACATACACGAGTTCTTCATACACGAACTCAAACCTACCGTGCCGGAATGCATGATCGACAAGCCACTAGCGGTAGGTCCATGAAGTTTTTTTTTCTTTTATTCACTCACTGAAGAAGGTCATACATTGATACAACACGAAGTGGTACCGCACTTGAGTTACCATGACTTATTTTAATGCTACCACTTGCTTTATGGAGGAGTAGGTAGATGGATGAATGAATGAATGAATGGGTGAATGAATGGTTAGATGAATGAATGGATACATGAATGAATGGGTGGATGAATGAATATTGTAGGTTGATGGCTGGATGAATGAACAGAAGGATGCATGAATAAATGAATAGGTGAATGGATGGATGAATGAATGGATAGTTGCATGCATGCATCATGTGGATGGTAGTTTAAGTTAAATATAGTATTTTCAACATGTACTCTATAGACAATCATCGTATATATGGTGAGAGAGTCAACAATGATGCCAGCAGCTATAATTATACTTCCCGTTTAGTTACTGATCAAGGTTTACCTGCTTCACAGATTATCCGTCAGACCAAGAAGCTGGTTCAGAGACACCTGAGCAGGTACGAGCTGCAGGAGTGTAACCAGGAGGAGTACACAAACCTGCGCCACTCCTGGCAGGCCGAGGACTGCTGCAGGGCCGTGCTCGCGTACGTGGAGAGGGAGCGCTTGTGATACCACGCCACGGCCGCCATGTTTGTTTGTTTTTTTGGGGGGGATGCTTACAAGCAAATATATGCGTTATGTATCTACAAGGAAGAAACTACAAGACTAGAAGTTGAACAGTCATACAGCTTTTGTTGTTTATTGTTTGTTGAATAAAGCACGTATCTTAAACATTTTGTATCTCTTCCTTTATCTGCATATGAAATGATAGACTTTCAGTGAGTCGAAGGAGATGAATCCAGCTTGTCTCCAGCGTCAGTAAATACCTTGGTATGACATAAAACTTAAAAGCTAGTATAAATAGTCTAGTATAACATACAATCACCCGAGGTAAGTTAGTGGGGGGATCGAATTCCAACAGTGCTTTTTTATGAAGGTCCTAAATTTGTCAAAACAGAAAACCTGAATGATGGCATCCCTCCTTCAAGTGTCTTGTAAGAAGAAGGTAAGATGAGCCAAGATTCCTGTAAAGAAAACAAAAGACACAAGACATGCTTTTAAAAACAAGCTAGTCGGGGGCCAAGATGGGAAAAGCTGGTTGGTGATATGATGATGTGTGACTCAAATGATTGGTCACCTTGGTGCTAATAAGACTGGACTTGAAAGCATGTCAATTATCGCAATTTCTAACAGAGAAGAGATATCTATAATTTGTAATACATTGTATATGTAGTTTATTAATTTTGGATCTTGCGTGCAATAAAGAATTGCATTCAGTCAGCCTTTCCCTGCTTGAAAAAATGCAGTGGACAAATCCGAGAACCAGATTAAATTGGTGTGGCCTAATGTAGAAATGAAATAGAGACATACCCATAACCATGGTGTCCAAGTCATTGTCCTGTTTCCATCTCCTCTGCAGACTCTGCATCTGTCTGGTGTCATCATAGTTTAGTGTGTCTAGAAGAAACTGCTTTTGTAGAAAGCTGCAGTTTGTTGAGAAAAAAGCTGACATTTGTGATAATTTTTGTACGTTGATTCTATTTATAGGCAAGAGCCTGCCAGTATAAAAATTACATATGCAGGCGTCATTGTTCCACATATATGGCTGAAAAACAGTGATAAAGAGTTGTAGGCCAGTGACGACCACCAAAATGAAAGGATACAGCTCTCGAACTGCCCTGTCGATGTCTCCCAACCATTCCAACATGTCCGCCATGGAGGGTTCTGTCGCCGACCTCTCCACGACCTTGGGAATCGCCAGCTCTGCTGCATGTGTCTGGTACGTGTGCATGGACGCTCCATACTGTCTGCCTACACTGTTGGACACTTCTTGTAAGGAGCATCTACAGAGATATGAAATATATGAAGGCTCGAAGATTTTGACTATAGCATAATGTTCCAACAAACACAGTTTAACATTGTCACTGTCTCAAGGACCCATCCACCTGTTTGCTTGTGGACAAATATTTAACATTTTTCTGAAAATTATGTTTTGAACAGGGTATTCAGAGCCAGGGTTTGTAATTCAGATGTCACATTGAACATTCTTAGGATTAGGGTATGGTTTTCTTTCATGTGATCCTTGTACAATTCATAAACTACCCAGCCAAAGGCCTGCTTTTTCAAAAGCACTTGTTTCCTAAATTTGTTTGAAAAAAAGAAACGATTGGAAATCGGGATCATCATAAATGGTCTGGCGATTCTTCTGATGACTTACAATGTCTCTCTGAGTTTTCCCACCATCTTCTCCATCTCTTCCAACAGTTTAGCTCTCAATCTGCTCTTCAGATCAGGAAAGTCCTTCAAAAACTCGGGAGCCTCGTCGGGAACTTTTTCACAAGACTCCAACTGTTCGGAGAGGTTGCAGAGGGACCTCACATACTGCTCGGAATTTCCGTGGATTTCCTTCCAGCGAGCGGCCTGCTTTTCAATAGTAACGTACGCGGATTTGAGCTGACGCCGGGTGAGAACTTCTGCCTGCATTGTTCCCCACAAAACCTTTTCTTTGTAACGTTTTTTTTTACACTTCGTCGTAACAGTGGCAGTGCTTGCATACACAGTCCCATGCTTTTTCCGGTTTCCTAAAGGTCAAAGGTGAAGGCTTGATCTCGTCCCCAGAGGTATCCATGACAGGGGACAAAGAAAAAGGACTATAGATATGATATTTGTTCTTGGATATAATTTTTGATATTCTAAACATATTATTCATGTATTTTTTGTGGAAGATACTGGTTAAAAACCAAAGATCCGTAGAAAACCTCAAATCGCACACATAGCACCCTGTAATGGAGATCACTTAGTCACGTGATCAAAACTCGCTTGTTGATTGGCTAATTCGTCTAGTTTAAATCGAGGCGGCCATTTTGGATAAAGAAGTTGTGCTGTCGGTACGGAAGGAAAGGATACCTTCAATTTTTCTTGGATTTTGGGCTGTATCAGCGGAGTTTTTATAATTATACAGGTAAGAAATATGTTTTATATATCTTAGAGTCGGCGGACACCGTTTTGGGAGATGAATGTGTTGCTATTTGGAGTTTCGTTCCAGTTTTTGGCAGATCGTTTTGAAACCGGGGACGTCAACAAAAATGGCTGCCGAAAATTATGGAGGGAAAAGATAACTCGACGAATTGTTGCTTTCGGGGCGATCTAGTCATGGCTTTAGTTCAAGGTGGTATTTTTTGTTTTCATATGTTTGTTTTGAAGCCCATCGTGAGTATGTGAAGCTAATTAAGAACGTGTGATCGTCGAAATATCGATTATCCCTGAAAGTTTCCTCAGAAGAGAAAGACCTGGGAATACTAGTAGACAGAGACTTGGGCTTTGCCAACCATATAACAACTATTGTAAAAAAAGCAAACCAAATAATGGGACTAACATGGAGAACATTTGTACACATGGACCTAGAAATGTTTCTCATTCTTTACAAGACCATCATCCGTCCTCACTTAAGTTAGAGTACGGAGCCCCCATAATTTGGTCCCCACATACTTGGAAACTCGCCACAGAACTAGAGAAAGTACAGAAGCGAGCGACAAAAAGAGTACCAGGCCTGCAGGATCTTTCATACACAGATAGGCTCAAGAAACTAAAACTACCTACCCTGGTCTACAGGAGATTGAGGGGTGACATGATCAACGTTTACAAATACACACACGGGATGTACAACACAGCATGTCTACTACCAATAACAACAGAGAAGAGAACTAGAGGTCATCACCTGAAAATAAAGAGGACGCAGGCAAAAACAAATATGCGCCTACACTTCTTTACAAATAGAACGGCAAGCTGGTGGAATGAGCTTCCTGGGGAGGTAGTCATGGCGCCTAGTGTAAACAGTTTCAAGAAGAGGTTTGACGAGTACATGGAAACACACCCGGTCGTCTACAATTATAGAGCTTTGGACCACCCACTACGTCCAGAGATGTCAGTAAACTGAAGAGCGGCCCAAATTGGAGCAGGACTCCTACCCGGCATGAATCAACTCTACTCTACTCTACTCTACTCATTATTTTTTGCCTATTTCTGACAGACATCTACATGTACCTCATCAAGGGTGTGTCTTTCTGATCGCCGTTCATGTATTACTAGTAAATTGAGTCAATGGCTTTCAGCTAATCTTTTAAAGCGGCCCCAGGGTCTTGCTTGAGGTATAGCTCCCCCCAAACACAGGACCATTTTTTAAACGACAAAACATGTCAAAAGTCAAAACTCAAGCCAGGGATTTATTTGTGTAGAAATAATGCCTTTCCCAAGAGGGACACAAATATACACCAGGGGTTTGAATTCTGAGTCGAACACTCTAAAAGTCATGCCACATGATTGTTTACCTAATCATCAGTAGACAGTATTAGCATACAAAAGGCTTACCAAATCCCCATGGCTAGTTTTCAGGGCATGTCAAGACTTGCCCAAGGGTGGTGGCCTGGTGGGTATCTACCAAAGTACTAGCTGTGGCAACTCAGGAAGCCTTATGTAAGATTTATTTTTTGCAGGAATACAGTCAGCAGCACCAAAATGCCACGCAAGAGGAAAACAAGGCAGACAACGCGAGCCAAACCTAAGCTACCAGAAGGCAACGAAGGCCACGATATGGACCAAGAGGAAAAGGAACGCAAAAAGGAGCTTTTCCTCCAGGACTTTGATGTTGAAGGTAGGCCCGTTACTAGTAGATGAAGCTAAATATTCTATTATGATAATATATCATTATGTATGTAGTCTGGTCAGTTACTACAGGGCTTGAAATACGCACTTGCCATTTGCATACAAAGTTGCAAGTTCAGATGTGTATGTGGGTATGTCTAGCCCTGCTTGCCCTGGGCATGTGGACTTTTCAGTTTTCTTACCCTGTTAAAATCTTTTTGCATCCAATTATCAATTGTAATGTTCCTGTTTTTGTCCACAGTGGAGTCTAAGATCAAGCAGTCGTACGAGCTGTGTGAGAAGATCTGTAACTTAGGCAGACAACAGTTCAGACTGGAGGTCATGAAACTCCCCAAGAAAATCCAGAACATGACCATGGCTGAATTCTTGGGTGAGTAAATTATATTTTTTATGTGAATCAATTGGGAAAACTGGTCAAAAGTAACCACACACACACACACACACACACACTGACTGTACATGTATTTGTTTTTCCTTTGATGCCCACGATCATGATAATTATCATTCTGGCATATTTATTTATTTATTTTTTTTCTACATGTGTATACAGCCCAGGGTGGAAGTATTGAGGCCATACAACTCCAGTCGGTGACAGACACAGATGCTAAGGAATGCACATCGGCGGAAAAGACAAGGTTTGTCATGGCTCAAACTACCCCTCAGATTTATAGATTATTAGTACACAGCGTTATACAGCATATTCTTAACATTTTTAAGTGCCAGAGAAAATTATAAAACCTGCAGGTTTGTTGTATTTCTATAATTACATTAAGAATCTTTTGGGTGTTATTTTGAGATACAATGTACTGTGTTCTTGACTTCTTCACAGGATGCCACTGGCTGCAGTAAGCAACAATATAGCACCAACAGGTAAGATCTCAGAGCTGAGAACTTGTGAATTTATTTCATCATGTCGCTGAATGATTGAATAGTAAAGTTCTTTTATTCAAAACCATTTGTTTAACATTAGCTGACGTTAAAAACCGTCTGTTGTCTTCCTCAGGGCTATAATGACTGGTTCACTGGTTGCACAGAAGCTTAGGACTCTGATAAGAGAATAATTGTATGTAGTTATTGTAGTAGTGTGGGGTTCATTTATTGTTCTATTTTGCATTTATATTACAGAAACTGTTGAGGAAGATGAACAGGAAAGTAAACCTAAAGGAAGGCCACCCAAGAGAAAGGTACCATCAATACTCACTCACTGACCAGATTAGCGCAGAAAGCCGTCGCTGTTGTTCCTTGTATGTCTTCCGAGGGTTAGACGTGCTAGCACACTGATGCTGATGAGGCTTGGTGGAAGCCTGCCATTTGCCTCTGTGCTGTGGACTCTTGTGGAAGTCCTCCCCTATGTTGTCCATCCATCTCTGACTTCCTTGATGGCTTTGGCCTTCTAGTAAAATTAAAAACATCATCACACTGAATGTAGAAGTTCTACATTCAGCGTGATGATCTTTTTAATTTTAGGCCACTTTTCACTGTCCTTTTTTTGGAGGTGGCCATACAATCTTGGTCAGCTAGATCGTACTACATGTAATAATAATTTAGAGTTATACTAGAGTTTCTGTTGAGTGCCTCTGTCTTAATTTATCCGTTTGGTTCATGACCTTTAGACTACCAAGAAGAAGGACACTGCCCCTCCACCCACAAAAAGGATGACCAGGTCTTCAGCCAGGACTCAGGGTGGCACAGCCTCCAGGTTGGGCAGGTAAGGTTCAGCAAAACTGTATTGTTACAGGGCTCCAAAGTCATTTGTGGGAATCCAGTGCAATTTCAGGGCGGCAAAACTGGATTTTCAAAATCAATTTTCTGCTCACTTTTAATGTAGTGAGTTGAATCAATCCTTTCCTATAGCATACTGATTATAACTGATGTCTGTGAGGCAAAAATGCAATGTTGCTGACAGAAAAATGGTGGGTTGGTGGTATCAAAAATAAAGAGGTGGTACCCAAAAATAAAGATTGACCTTTTGATTGCAGCAAGACCAGTCGGAACGCGCTTACGACCCCAGCTGTGAAGGGAAACAAGCCAGTGTGGAGCGACACACCACTCATTACACCCAAGTTTGATCCAAGGTTAGCTTCCCTTCTTCCCTATCAGTATATGTATAAGTACAGAATTAAGTACAGATATTGAACATCTCTCCTGCCTTGTAAGGTTGTAATTGTGTGGAGAAGATGTAGAACTAAAGCTGCAGGAAATGACTTCCATTTGTGTCTGGAAAAGACAAAATGCAATTGTTTAATTCATGTAGCATCGATGCTATGTTGAGGGCTGAAGCCACGACGATCCTATGGGGCTATGCAAGAGCATGCACCTCCAATAAAATTTTGAAATCTTGACCCTCTAAAAGGCCATTTCCTGCATTTTGAAGGGCAAGTCACCCACTTTACTTAAAGCCTTGTTCACAACAAGGCATCTGACCTATTGTATGAAATAACGTCAGACCATGTTATTAGTCTTATTGGTGCTATTAGTAAGCACCAATCTAGTAGAAATCTAGTACTAGATTTTTTCTCTAATCAGAAAGGACATTTCTTTTGTGGTTCTCAGACTTCCCACGACTCCGATGGTGCGAGAAGCGAAGGCTGGAGAGAGGCTGATGTCCATATCAGGCAGTCCTGTTCTCAACAGGCCCATGGCTGCTGCTGTCAAAGTTCCAGAGGCACTGATACCTGTGGGAGATGGCAAGGTGGGAAACATTCTGTTACTAACAGACTGAAGTAATGTTTTGGGTAGTGCTACTTCATGCTAGGTTTTAGAGCTGTGTACCAATACAGTGTACTGGTACGATCAAATAGATACAGGTCCAAAATACTGGAACATCAAGTACTGGTACTGTACAGGATACTGATCTAAGTAAACCCATAAATCTATATCTAATGTTTTCTATTGTATTAAACATTATTGATAGAAGCAAAGCTTATTAAAAGTTGACCATTATTTGAACAAACAGGTATGGGTCCAGACCTGTACCTAACCCTGTGTACCTGTACCTAACCCTGTGTACCTGTACCTAAAATTTGTACACAGCTCTACTAGGTTTGTATTTTTTGGTACTAAGTATTTAACAAGAAATTCATAACAACTCTAAATACTTTGAGAAGGTGTGACATCTTTGATTTATTGTTTTGCATGCAGGTGTTCCAGTGTAGCCATGACGTGGATCCAGACGATGTAGAAATCCCTGATATGGACGAGAAAACTATTAGTAACATACAGCTGCTACAGGTCAGTCTACTGCCATGTTTGAAAGTACTGCAATTCACTTTATCATAAAGTTTATGTCCTGTTCGCTGTAGCAAAGGTTTATGAACTATATGTTCGCTGTGGCCGCATGAAGAAAAAGAAAGTCAGCAGATTATTTCATAAAGGTAATGATAAGTTTGTGGTACAAAACTGCTGACATAAAACTTGTACTGCAAAAAAAATCAGGAATTACAGTACCTTGTGTTTTTGGGATACAGTGAACTTTTCATTTATTTTATGAACTTCTCAGTATCATATTCTATGATTGGGTTGTTCTATGGTTATTTGAGCCACCAATATTATTTGAGTCACACATTGTCATTACACTCACACCACCCGCTGCTGTAATATTGGCCCACAGACAGCTTTTAAAAAAGCATTTCTTGTTCCTAGAGGATGGCAGCCTTATCTTGTTATTATTAACTGTTTCTGCTCTTTGTTTTACAGCAAAAACTGGCAGCTATTCTGAAAAAGGCAAGACAGAACCAGACACAGAGCAGCAGCACCGAGTCAGACTAAGGAGAGAGTCGTGGTGTTTTGTATATTTTGTATTTATATGGGGTAGTGTAAAGATACAAAACTTAGGTTGCAACTACTGGTATTAGAAATTTCAGCTGTATTTTATCTGTGGTATTTTGTTTCTATGTCAGTTTTAATTTTCTTTTAAAGTTCTTTCATATCGACTGCTACACTCTTGCCCTCTGAGAACTTTTTAAAGCTCTTAACGGGTCTAAACAGTGCATCATTTTTATTTGCCTTGGGATAGATTCAGACACATTATATTTTATTCAGTATTGGTGTATGTACACTACTAGTATGGCAACAGACAGACTTGTTAGATTTTGCATGGTTGTCTAGTACAGTAGACTGCATGGTATTTTGCAGCCAGCTAGCAAGGTAGGGTTCAGAAACATGTCTGCAGAACATAATTAAAAATTGGGTGTACAAGACAACTAAACCTAATAATGAGATGCTCATGTGTCTTAAATCTATGTAGAGTCATAAATCCTTTGTCTTTTGTATGGTTGTTGTCATCAATGTTGACCTGATGATTTGGGTTGAATATTGATTTCAAAAATGCTGTCACCATATCATATGCAGGAAGGTGATGATATCAGTTTGCTAAAAAAAACTTCGAAATAAGTGGGGGAAAACTGCACTACACGTATTAAGTCATGCTGGATAGTTGTAGTTTCTTCTTTGTCTACATACTTTAGGCATTATAGATGATCACCTGTCATTGTATTCTATTCTTGATTTGGGGTCTTTTTATTGTTTTATCTGTCAGCAAAATTCACAATGCTCTAATCAGATGTAGAACATCTGCTATTATCTTAAAGTTGATTTCAATAAGAAATAAACATTGCATGGCAAGGAAGTTGTGCTTTCTTCAATATGGCAATGTACATAGAGAGTCCATATTCTATACCCATTCTGTAGTACTGTTGACAGTTTCTAAAATAGAACAATTAATGCTGTTACTGTGATGTTCTGTGTTTTCTTTGGTAGGACTACTACTTTCAGACATTGTTTGAATGGCACATTCTGCTAAAACTTGATTGTGCTATTTAGTCATAAGAGACTTTCAATGGACATGGATTATGCGAATTAGAACTTTATCTAATTAACGTGATCAGTACAGCCGATATAACCGCCCAGCTTAATACAATGAAACAAGACATTTTGAGAGCAAATGTAGTACGGAAGATGCTTAACATACCCCAAAAGTTAGAGCCGTTGGCTCGTCTGGTAGAAAAGGTCAAATTTAGGTATATCATGAGCATTTTTCTTATCAACTTTGTACTAAAGTCAACCTACTCTGACAACGGAAATATGTTAGTTTCTACAACAATGAGAAAGTGCTAAACGTATGTTAAATATGCTAGACTATATTTTCTCTTTAACAACTTGGACATTAAGTATTTGAATTGTAACAACAAAATGCACTTACATGAGTTATGACTACATCACACAAGATTTTACACCACAGGTGAGAGCCGACAAGAATCTATGAACCAAATGTTTCAAACCATCAGATTTTTACACATCCCTGTACCACTTCTATTTCCTGAGCTTGTAGGGAATAAATAGTCTTCAGACAATGTTTAGCCAGACAGGGGCTACATACGCATATCTTTACACTTGCCTAATACCATCCTACTTGTATGCCGGGGCTCCCACACTCGCTTCCCTAACTCGCTTCCGGCATACAAGTAGGATGGTACCCAGGCTAATGCTCTTGGTTCGGACATATATAATTTTATGATGATGCTTGTTTTTAACAACTTGTTAGTACAATGTATCTAAAACGTTTGTTTATATCTAAAACTCCCTTAATTGTAGGAGCTGATTACGCGACAATCGGGCGACATGTTGCACCCTCCTACAGGATGATTTCTCCGTTGGGAAACCTTTGCTGCACTGTTTAAATGCTGTCCGCCTGAATCTCATTCAGCGCGTTCTCTGTCTCATGCAGGCTGCTGGGCACGGCCATGTCGCCAGAGGGCGCCCGTCTCGTCCATCTCCCTTTCTTGTCCTTTGGAGGAGGCGCAGGAGGATCATCCTGAAATGGTCAAACCAAGGACATTATACTTGGTCAAACATTTCTGATGATTTCTCACCGCTGCTATCTCCTTACTGTTATTGTATGAAAACTTAGAAACTATAAGGGGAATGCTAATTGATAACGTAAAGCACAACAAAAATTACTTTAACTTATCAATACCAATAAAATTGAACACAAATACACCCAACAAAGGATCCAATGCATTAGGTGAAGGCCAACACAACAACCTACCGACATGTAGTCTCTGTCCTCCATGATAACGTCATCCAGGATGGCTTGTTCCGGTATGCCCTCACCTGACCGGATGTCCTCCCCACGTGACCGGATGTCCACCCCATCTGGTTTATGACGTTCCACTGTTGAGTAGGGCGGCAGCGCGTTGGAGTGCGCGTGCGCCAAACCTGCAGCATCAAAGCAACATTTTTCTCATTGGGAACGGGGGTCGCTACAGACTTCCTGGGACGCCTGACCCACCGGAACGGGGGTCGCCACAGACTTCCAGGGACCCACCGGAACAAGGGTCGTTACAGACTTCCAGGGACCCACCGGAACGGGGGTCGTTACAGACTTCCAGGGACGTCTAACCTACCGGAACGGGGGTCGTTACAGACTTCCAGGGACGCCTGACCCACCGGAACGGGGGTCGCTACAGACTTCCTGACCCACCGGAACGGGGTCGCTACAGACTTCCAGAGACGCCTGACCCACCGGAACGGGGGTCGCTACAGACTTCCAGGGACGCCTGACCCACCGGAACGGGGGCGTTACAGACTTTCAGGGACGCCTGACCCACCGGAACGGGGGTCGCTACAGACTTCCAGGGACGCCTGACCCACCGGAACGGGGGTCGCTACAGACTTCCAGAGACGTCTAACCCACCGGAACGGGGGTCGCTACAGACTTCCAGAGACGTCTAACCCACCGGAACGGGGGTCGTTACAGACTTCCAGAGACGCCTGACCCACCGGAACGGGGCTCGCTACAGACTTTCAGGGATGTCTGACCCACCGGAACGGGGGTCGCTACAGACTTCCAGGGACATCTGACCCAACGGAACGGAGGTCGCTACAGGCTTTCAGGGACCCTCCGACCCACCGGGACGGGGGCCGCTACAGACTTCCAGGGACCATCCGACCCACCGGGACGGATTCGCTACATTATGTCCCACAGACGTACCTGTGTAGGAGAGTCCCACGGAAGTCCACTCCTTGCCAGCCCGAGGCGGCGGGCGTGGCTTTATGGTCCCGTCCAACTCCTGCAGTTCCAGGTCCTCCACACCGGAGTCGTTCGTACCGTGGCCCAGTCTCTTCCCGGGCTTCGGCACAGGAGGCATCGAGCGGGAGGAGGACAATGTAGACGTGTCTGGTAGATAAAAAAAAAACACCATATATCTCCGTCAGTAAAACACACAAGTCAACTGATACTTACCCAATCACAACAGACAACTTGATATTTGTTCATTTTGCAGCTGCTTTGTACGATTTACAGTGTGGTCGAAAACCTTTCTTCTTTGCAACAGACGAAAATTCGTGCGAGCTTGGATCTCATCCATATTACCAAATCAACATGGCCTAAGCACTAATTCTGACACACCAACACATCTCCAAGCAGATCTTTCGGTAGGGGGAAGGCAGTATCAAATTTGACCGAATCCTTCAGTGGGGAAATGAATACTGTCTGGCAAATGCATGGATACAGGCTGGCAAAAGATTTATAATACCTGGTCTCTGCTCCCGACACAACCACTGCTTCTTCACAGCCACGCAGACGACAATCGCACCCACAATCCCAAGGACTAGCGTCGCCATGGAAACCGAGATGACGACAATGGAGTCAGTGGAGTCTGTGATGATCCAAAAATATAGATATCTTTTTAATATCTTGCATAATTTAATGCAAGAACAGATGTGCATAACTTCAGTGTTTTCCTTGATAAGATGCAGACTATAATCCATAGCATAATTTAATTTATTATAGACTATAACTTATAACGCCAAAAAGCAGTTACTCAAGCAACTGGATATGATTTTGAAAACGTCAGACGTTTCAGCTAGTATCCACTAGCTTTCGTCAGTGACTGAGAGACCAGAGGGGAAATGCAGGTTTATAAGCACAACCTATTGATTGATATGCAAATAAAGTGAAGACAAATTTTTGGAAGTCCAGACTTATAACGTATTATATCATAGTCTATACTTCATAGTGCTCTTCTTTTACAGAATATAGCCCATAGCGTACTTTTATTACAGACTATAACCTATAATAATATTATGATAATAATGATTGTAAAAAAATAATGACATAATTGGAAAGAATAAGGACATAAAACCTACTATTTATAACTTTGTTTTCCGTCTGAGACAATTGTATAGCTGGAAGGAAATTAAACGATAATTGAGACACGAAAATATGAAGACATAAAATAACCTGTCTTTGATGATGTCGAAATTAAGATGTGTAAAGTAAAACCTGCGTAAAGTGATTGAAATTCAAAATCACTTCTGTTCGACCGTACCATTATGTAGGAAGTAAGGGCTCTTTCTAATTCTATTGACATACTAGTAGTTCTTTGTTTCAAAATATTCTTAGTATTCTTACCACCCCAATATCGAACAAATTGTGACTAATAGATATAGAATACTAGTACATGTTATGTTCCACCAATTACTCAGCCATATAACATAATAGGTTTGATGCATGAATCGAATATTCTTAAAATAGTCTTTAACGAAGTCGGTTTTGCTTTGCGTGATTTTCGGTTCAACTCTTTTTTAGCTAACGAAAAACTGCCAGATGCAGATAGCGTATGAGGTAGACTAGTGATCTCTGCCTTCTCTGAACAAAACATAAATTTCACATTTTTGAATGCTCGTCCTGTTATCATTAATACAAATCATAATCACGTCTGAAGCTACAGATTAATCACTTTGGCTCAATGAGTTCAAATATTTACAATACCTTTTATCACTCTAGGTTATTGATTTGATGTGAAATACATATTGCGTTCCACTATATAGCTACCTATCATAACACACTTGGTGTTTCACCTGTGACCTCCAGTCGGATCTCCCGCCGAGCGTCCCCGAACATGTTGGACGTCTGACAGATGTACGTCCCTTCTTCAGATATCCCGACATCCTCCACGACAAGGGAGCTGGCTATCCCAACACCCGTCTGTCGGAATATTTAAGCATGTCAGATGTCAATCAAAGTAACGACATGGCTTTGGATACACAGCTGTAGACGAATTACCTACAACTTATTTCATTTGTCAACATTTATGCCAAGTGGCTTAGCTTGTTACTTATTTACAATATAGTACGCACGTCAACGAATATATGTACCGTTATCTCCAGCATATAATGTTGATATGAGTATTTCACATAATTTTCAACGTGCTGTTAAAATGATGTACGTGCTGAGATCAATCAGCAGAAATAAACAAACTTATAAGATCCGACCCACCAGCTCTTCGGTGATGACGACACCGACGTCCGTTGCCATGACGACGCTTTCAGTCCCTTCCTTGGTCTGCCAGATCCAGGTGACGGTGACGGGGAGAGGGTCCCCGAGAATCTCGCAGTAAAGTCTCGCGTTACTTCCTGCAGCTACTGTGAGCGTTGCGAGACCAGCTTTAATAGACGGTCGCCCTGATGACGTACAAATACATTGACCGTATCAGTTTATAGTTTCAATAACTTGTAACTACGATAGCGATGATTTTAGTCAAAGAAAAGTTATATTCCATACAATCACATCATCAGGGGTGCCAAAGAATTCATACGAATTCAACGGAATTCATACGAATTTTACGGAATTTATACGAATTTTACGGAATTCATACGAATTTTACGGAATTCATACGAATTTTACGGAATACATACGAATTTTACGGAATTCATACGAATTTTACGGAATACATACTATCCATTACTAGGAAACATACGAATTTTATGGAATACATAAAAGCCCCCCCCCCGTAATACGTAGCGGGGGGAGAGGACCCCCGACGTAAAACGTACCCACGACGTCGACGAAAACGTCCTTGGTGACCTCCTGGAAGCCGTCGCTGGCAGCCACGCACTGATACGTGCCCTGCACGTCGTAACGCACCCGGTGGAAGCGGAGAGGGTTGTCCCAGTACAGACTTGTGTCCTTCCGTCGCCAGCGGACGTGAGGTGTGGGGTTCCCGGCAGCGAAACACTCTATGGACAGGTCATCCTGACCGAACAACATCGTCACCTCGTCTTCTAATGTACTCTCTATCACAGGGGGGTCTGAAAACGTGTGTATAATGACATTGGAATAGTGTGAAATACACTTGGTAATGGCAAATAGAAAATCATCATAATCATCTCATGTGTAACATCAGTAGCTAGTTTAGGCCTTTTTCCCACTAGGATAAAATTATCCGGATCGAGCCGAATCGATGCGCTTTGCTCGAGCCGGATCGACGCCGAATCAAAGCGAATCAATTCGGTTCGATCCGAACAATTTTACCCTGGTGGTAATGGGGCCTTAGATAGCTTACTACAGCATATACTTACAATAAACCTGCAAAGTAACAGTGCCCTGTCCAGCAGGTGGCACCTTATTGTCGGCCACACAATGGTAAAGTCCGCCGTCCTGACTAGACACCTTCGGGAGGTGCAGCAGGTGATCTCTGGAACAACCAGTCAGTGTATCTAGGCATCGCACGTTCTGACAAACTTGTATTTAGACATCGCATATTCTGACAAACATGTATTCATACATTGCACGTTTTCACAAACTTATATTTAGACATTGAATGTTCCGACAAACTTATATTTAGACATTGCACATTCTGACGAACCTGAATTTATATTAGGCATCGTTGATGAAATGAGGTTCATTATAAATGGATATAAAGATTTTATGCCTTACCTCGGCACAGCCAGCACAGGAAGACTGCCTCCGACTCTCCGCCATGTGACAGTCGCCCTGGGGTTACTGTCCACCATACAGCTGAGACTGGCCGGCTCACCCTCTCTCACGTGGACGGACGGACTGGGCACTGACACAACCGGGGGGTCTGTGGGGCAGATTCGACAGCCATCATATAAGGTACCATGGACCAGAGGGGGGGGGGGGGTCTGTGGAACAGATACAACAGCCATCATATACCATTAAGGTAACATGGACCATCGGCTGGTCTAGCGATCAAAACAAGCTTAAGGCATTGTTACTTTTTAGCTACTAAAAATTACAACGATGATAACTGAACATGATACTTAATGGTCCAGTATTTGTTCAAACACATCCACATATTCGACAAGAGATTCACATTTGACTCTTAAGATCCGAGACGTGGCCCTCGTCCTGGCGAGGTCGGGGAAGCCCTGGTCGGCCAGGCAGGTGAAGTTGGCGCCGTGATCCCATCTCGTCAGCCGCGGGACGAACAGCTCCAGGGTTCTCTCGTTACCATGGCTACCAGCGGCATCTCTCACGGACCTGCAGACAGCATTTGGAACACCTGTAAGCTAATGTACTCGTAGGAGGACACCAATGCACACTGAACACCAATATGGCGCCACGTGACTACAAAAACCTCATTAGGCCATCGTAAAAAAATAACACCGACAATATACAAAGAAGCTGAAAAATGAGCAAATCTATGCCACAAATTGAAAAAAAAACATGGAAAAACGATACAAAAAGGCCAAAAACAATTCCAAAGAAAGAGAAGAAAATGTGAATCCAGATTCCACCGAGTCCGCTACTTTACACGTTTTCATCAAACAACAATGATTGCGATTGAGGCGAATCGTGCTCGGGCACGGTTTGAAAGGCACGTGTGGCACGTGGGCTAGATGTGAGGAATACGTTTTATCCGATTCGCGGTTACAGCAATTCCGTGTGAACAGAGCAGATTTTTGGAACCTGAAGGGATGTGTTCCGTTGAGCCAGGTGAGCCGCGGGGCCGGATGTCCACCTGAAGCCCGGCAGGTGAGGGACAGCGGGCCGCCTGCTGTGCTTACCAGCTCCCCGCCAGTGATGGTCGGCGGTCCCGGCATCGGTACTGGACAGAAAGGCATTTCACGCTTCAGGACATGTGTGCTAAATAACTCGCGAAGTTAGAAATAATAATTTATATTCCAATCATCTAAACACTTACATGCTTAAGTAGTTGATGATAATGATTATGAACGTATAATTACCTACCTTCACAAAGAAATGTCTATCAATGGCAGTAAGTGAAATGTCTATCGATGACAGTAAGTGAAATGACTGCCCATGATAGTGAGTGACCGTAAGTGACAGCAAGTAACAACAATAAGTGACAGTAAGTGGAATGTCAACCGATGACAGTGAGTGATAGTGAGCGACAGTAAGTAACAACAGCAATTGAAATGACTACCGATGACAGTGAGTGTTGCGTCCTCTGCTGCGGTTGCAGGGTCCGTGTAGCAGCTGTATTTCCCGCCGTCCTCCGGCCTGGCCTGGCGGATCTCGAGGTTGAACTCCCCGGCGGCGGGGTCCCCCGTGACGCTGTGCCGGGGGAAGGACTTCATCACGGTCCGGCCGTGCGAGATGACCTTGTCCCCGGGCGGACCCTGCCAGATGACGGTGTCCCCGCTCCCCAGGCTGCTGTACGCACAGTCCAGCCTCGCGTCTCCGCCCTGCAGCACGGCAGACGACTCGGGACGGACGCGGTAAGACGAGCCGGCTGACACGGAGAAGGAAAGAAAAACGGCGCTCATGTCTGTATCGGTATAATTGGTAGAACAGCCCTTTCAGTTTGGCGTAACACACCAGCTTCTGCATCTGTATAGCCGGTATAACCGCCCATCTGTATACCAGGTATAACCGCCCTTTGACGTAACACACGTCCAGCTTCATAGGCACACGACAAGGCGACATCTAGCTATATTACACCGAATGACTTGTTACACCCAGTTTTTGCACATTTAACTGCAGGAGTTGTTTAACTTGAGCTTTCTAGTGATGATGCCCCAACTGTACCTAGTGACAACGAGTTCCATTCCACGATCATAGTTCTTGGAAAATACGAGTTTTTGAAAACCTTAATTCAACGGTTGGTAACTTAACTCTAATACTTGTAGGCATGACTGTTTCATGTTCTTTTCTGGGCCGGTATTAGATACTTAGTAGTTGGCACATCCACCAGTTTATTAGTCATTTTGTACATCATGCATTGTCTGGACATTTTTCGTCTGTCTTCAAGATTTTCGTCTGTCTTCAAGATGCCTCCCACGTCCAGCTAACAGCAGTGAACTGACCAGAATGACCCCAAAACTGAGTTACCATTCCTTTCCACATGCAGGGCAGCCCGTGTCATTTACGTAACGACACGGAAGGGATTCATAAACATCAGGCTGGCTCATGGCAGGCTATGAGTGGGTGTGCGCATAATGAGAGCATGATAACATCAGTGCACTTAAGTGTCGTATGGTGCACTTGATCCACGTGATGCCATGTAGGTTAATTATCATATTTTGGTCATTATCATTCATGATTAGTTCTGTATTTTTTATTGCGAACTGTTAAAGATATACTGGTATCACATTTTAGCATCAATCATTGAGAGATAATTGGTGCATATTGGAGGTGCACTAGTGCACTTGATCCACGTGATGCCATGTAGGTTAATGATCATATTTTGGTCATTATCATTCATCTTTGGTTCTGTATTATATTCTATTTTTGTGATCTGTTAAAGATATGCTGGTATTACATTTTAGCACCACTTAGAGATACTAGTAATTGGTACACTTTATTTTTTGGAGGTCATGGAAATAGTGGAGACAGCCTGGATTGTGGCTTACGTGGGCGGGCGCCCGGCATGGATGGGTTTTGATTACACCTGTACTCTATCTCTATGGCAATCACTCGAGATCTTTATTTGCAATCAGAAACAGATTCATGTACAGATATACAGATTTTTCCGAGTATGATGACCGTGTCAGTCCCTACACCTGAGTGAGGAGGGTTGACACGGTGGCCTTTGCGTGGATTTCAATAACAGGTTGCGAATCTGAGACCCCCACACTTGGGCATCCGTCTTCCCCAGCGGATCCATACACCTGTACTAACGGTGCCCCTACTTATGGAGAGGAGCTTGATTACACATGTACTAACGATGGCCTTAGGGCGTTTTTTTTATTAAAGCATATGACAAGTCTTCAATCGTATAACCATCAGAGCCGACAGAAGGCTTGTCTCAGATGCCAGGCCGTGATGTATGCTCGCCATCGCCCTAATGATTGGTTATCCAATCCTGCAGATGTTGTAATTATGGCGTTACGACGATACTATCATTTGTTGTTCGCCATCTTCTAATTAAGGATGGTTATAGCTCAATCCTTGAACAAACAACTCGATTCCTGGTAGAGAAATCTTTGGGTGTAAACGAACCGCGCAGATATCATGCATGTGGCGCACGTTATCTAAACAGTACTGCAACTTTGAATCATTTTATGAGATCTGACAATCCTGACACAGAACGTACTCCCCCCTTCTCCGCAGGCTGAAAAATAACAACATCGGAAGCCTCCAAAGCCTTTCAGTTGCAGAATAATTGTCGCCACCTGGCTTGAGACAGGTCAAAACGTTCCTTTCTTGTTCTTTCGAGTTCCTATCAAACCATTCACTGATCTGTGCCGACATGTAGTAAGACAAGGAAGCCACCCTCACCTGCCTGAGCGGCGTACGTGAGCAGCAGGATCAGGCAGCACCACCACCTCTGTAACCTCCGTGTTCCCGCCATGTTCACTCTCCTCTTCACTCCCTCAATCTCCGGGAATAGCCTGGATGCCAGGCCCCGGCGCGACACAGTACTCCTTTCGGCGGGGGGAGGCCACAAGCCCCGATCCCAGAGTTAGGCAGTAGTATATCTCTCTAATCTCTCTGACGGAGTGTCTGTGGTAAGATTTTCGGAGCCCGGGATCTAGCCTGTACACTGCGCCTGGCAACAGTCTGGCAGCCAGGCTAATGCGGGAATGACGCACGTCATCAGCCCACACTTGACAGAACGCTGCTGAGCTAGACGCTCCGTTGTGAAGTATCGATGATCCCGGTATGAGGCTAAAGTGCCTTATAATTACTTTTATGGATGACATCCTATAAAGACCCTCAAACTAGTGCGCGCGGGCAAAAAAATGCTGCTAAACCACAGGAATACAAATCTGGTATTGTGAATTCGCGGTTGTACATTGCGACTTTTACGACAAGCCTGCACATGTTGGCCTTTTGCGGCATCTTAAGAACAGGTGTGACGGAGATCTCGCACCCCATGATTTTGCACCCCCCCGGGGCGAGATCACTAGCAATCTCGAACCCCCCGGGGCGAAATCGCTAGCGATCTCGCACCCCCCAAGCTAGTGTTTTCGCACCCCCCAAACTAGTGTTTTCGCACCCCCCGGTGATCTCGCACCCCCCCGCCAAACATTTTGAAAATTGTTCTGTCTGCCCGGTATATAGTTGAAACTGCATTTTAGTGTGATAAAACCATACTTTAATGTTGTAATCGAGAGTTTTACAAGTTTCCCTGGACTAATGTGACGTATTTCAGCACAGCGCAATAATGGTGACTGTGCCCAATGATTGGTTGCAATAGTGTCCCTTAGTTCCAAGAAGAATGTGTGATTAATTCAACGTTATGTCATTCTTCATTATTGATTTTTTAAAAATCATTTTTAAGACATGACCAATATTTCTCTGCTTAGCACCACACATTTATTTGGTAAGCTGTTCTATGTCATAGATCAAGTGTAATAGATTGACATTCCTGAGGAAGATTTTAAAATTGTCAAAAGTCTTAAATAGGGACAGAAAAAAATCTCGAAGCCTGGTCCCGTCGGAAAAATAAAACTTTGTGACATTTTTGAGTAAGAATAATTGCTATAAAAGCTATTGAATGTTAAAAATATTACGGGTTTAAAAATTAAAAAAAGTCACCGGGGGGTGCGAAATCACTGGGGGTGCGAGATCTCTGTCACACCGGCACTGTACTGAGTTCTTAAGTTCAGTGGAGCTTCGGCAGCTTGGGTGCCGTCCTCCGTAGTTACCGCTGGCTCCCTAATTGTCGCTAGCTAACATGGACCTCAGAGGAGGTGATTTTTTAGGCGAAAGAAAATCAATGCGCGCATCTAGATATCATACAGGAAATTGACTCAGTGTGGCCTAATCTCACCTCCCACAGACGTTGGACCCAGGTGCTGGATTGAAACGCGTAAGAAATGGTGAAGGAGTTAGGATTAGGCGGAACCAAGTTAGATATTTTTCTGTCGCAGTCGATTTTCAAGAGCAAGGCACGGAATTTTTTTCCTAAACATAACGATCTTAGAAGAGCGGTATTGAAATCATAAAATTAACAGATTTGCGTACCTTGTAGCAGGGTATGGTGGCATATGAATTGTCAGGGAGAAATATTGATTTTTAATCTTTTGCCCCTCCTCCTTAATCACAGCACTAGAAAGGTTGGTCATGTTGAATACGCCAGTACCGTAATGATGTATGGATAGTACAGGCATCTGTTGAGATTTTAATTGTGAAATATTGCCGAGGAGATCGCCCCCGCACGCCGCCACATTCTGTTGAGCTGCAGGTTCAGTCGTCCTCTATTCAAATCACACCCCCGCCCCCGTTCAAACCGACATCGGAGAGTATTATCTCCCTCTCACTCTCACACTTTAATAAACATAATTACCGAATTAGGCCTTACTGAAGAAGCTGTTTAGATGTAAGAAAAGACTAACTGGGTTTTACGGTAGCCTCGAATTTTATTAAATATACTTTTATATCGATAAGTCACTCATTTTAATCACAGCATTGTATGTTCGAAACACCCTCAATGGTCATAATGGTGAGCAAATTAGAGACATGCATATTGGAAGCTACTTAGTTTCTGAGAATTCGAACTCTAGCTAAAAGTGATTACCTGTTCCATACGGCGCTGTGTGGGAACAAAGCCGACAGACAACAGACTGTGTGCGTGTAGGAGTCTTGATATGGCAGCCGGGGGCGGGTAGAGCTATAATCTTTGTTCAGAAGCCGTGACTTTTTTTTCAAGAGCCATGAAACGTTAAAACCTTAATTCGATACCACTTTGCAGACTTACGTCTGAATTATATTTACAATTCGTTTTATGGTCTTTGTACAGGATCCATGATCTTTTTTCAAAAGCTGTCATCTTCGTTCAGGAGCCACAAATTAGCCCTTATAAAAAAACAATTGAGTATCAGTCCTTACCCAAAACGCAGATGAAAGCGTTTTGCCTTTGGTAAGCCAACAGTTGTCCATGTTCCTGTTTCTGTAATACACCTCATTTTAAAGAAAGATAAAAGGCAAACAGCTACAACCATACATTTCCCTTTTTCCGGATACGCGCACTAACACTGTAAAAAAAATGGCGGAGCTGAAATTTACCACGACAGTGAGAACTTTGTAGCCTATACCAGCTTAAGACATGTCTACTCAAGCAACCGGGTGCGGCAAACAGTTTTCTCTACCGATCCAACTCCCCTGGCATGTTATCTCTCTCTATTTCACCGATTTTCTACTCTTTCCAGCCGCCTCCCGAAGCCTGAAAGAGGCTGGAAACTTTGCCACAACTACCGTAAACTTCTTTTGTGTGGACCTTTAATTACTTGAGAAGACAAGCCTTAAGCCGGTACTTGAGTGGCCCTGGGCGGCATTACCGTCGACACGCGATCCTTTTGTGGTGTCCCTTGCCAGGATGACCTCTGACCTAGTCACACCCTTCGTGTTTTTGTATGTACCTGTCGTGTGATGACTGAGTAGAAAGACGATATCCATTCTCATCACGCTCCCTTACATTTTGTGATAAACCCCTTTGCGTGTTTGCGTGGTTGACAGGGCAACTTTTTGTTGCTGGAGTAACCTTATATCAATGACCTAGCGAACGTACCTATGATAGCGTGCGGCCTAGTGGACGGAATATCCCGGCATTTGAAGCTTATTTCGTACCTGGCAGCAGCTCAGGAGATCTAGAGGACCGTTAGACATTTTTTTTACCGTCACTATGAAGACCGCAGTGGCCGTGCTTGTCCTTGCCGCTGTGTTTGATGCAGCAGTGGGGAACACCGGAGTGACTTTCACCAACAATGCCTACCTGGACGAGAACATGAACGTTTTTCTGCAGGTAAGAGACACAGACCTTGTTGGTAAGGTTCTGGGTTCGAGTCCTGACACCGATCTTGTGCCCCTGGGAAAGGCACTTTACACGACTTTCCTCACTTTACTAGGATGTAAATGTATATGCCATGGGTGATCATTAGCCATGTTGATTTGGTTATATGAATGAAATCCTCTAGGAACCCTGATGACAGCGTGAGATTTGCCGTTGTTTTATTGTTAGTGTGTAAACAGCTCCCACGCAATTGAGCCTCTGGCTGCCAGGTGGGATAGGCTGTATAGAGACTTTAATGTATTTTAAAAATTGAATTGAATAAACCATTATTATTATATGTAGTGGAGGAGGGACGAGTCTACCGTCACCATGCAGCTGGAGGTGCAGACCCGCGGGATGGTCGCTATCGGCTTCTCTCCCAACGGAAACATGCCGGCCTCGGATATCTTCGCCGGATACGTGGGCGACGACGGGCAGCCTTACTTCCACGTAAGTCACATGTCTTTAATCTTTTTATTCAGGAGTAATTAATAACGTGAGTATACAGGAACCATCCCAGTTAAGCCACAGAGATAACAAAAATATTGAATATATTCTGAAATAAATAGATAGGTGTGGTACACGCATGTAGAACTGATGTAGCCTGTCTGTCTGTCAGAACGATCCTGACTTTATTGAACTTTATCCTGTGCTGTTTTCAACCTCGAGAATTCGGCTGATCACGACCGTTTGTATTTGAAGCTGAAAGGCAAGATCACTGCCGTCAACCCACCAATTCATCCCTGTCCAACTCTGTTGTACTCGTAACGTAAATATATGCGAGTATTTGAAAGACATAGGGGACATAGGGGACCTTCCCGGTGTGAGTGGTTCAAACCTTACAGTCCGGTCTTACAGCTTGCACATGTAAGTACATGTACAAAACTGGTGTGTTACGCTTAAAGACGGTTTACCGGTTATGCGAAACAAACAAACAAACAAACATACCAGAACTCTCTCATTGGTTAAACCACCGTTTGTCTTATATATAATTACTTTCATTGCCTGAACTGCTGAATCATGACATCAGGATCGGTCTATTGTTGTTCCTTTCACCTCATGTCGTGGTGACAAATGACCACAGCGTTACATAATACGCAACGAAGGAAAGAAAACAGACTGGTTCTGTTAGGCCACACAAAGGAATTTCTATAGATGACGTCCTCTGAAGACCCCAAATCTTGTGCGAGAGCGCGAGAAAAACAAAAAGGGCCGAAAAAAGTTAAGATGCCTACATATCAAATATACCAAGGGACGGCAAATGTTGGGACACAAATTCAATGAGAGAACACCGTGTAACAACCAACAAGTCTTTTATTCGTCGTGGGAACAGCTATAATCAGTGGAACAGCAGTTTTCCTTTCATCACACCTTCCCTGATCCCACTGTCGTGACTCTTTGGTCATTATTACTAGCCTCTACCAGGCTTGAGGAGGCGGCTGGAAAGAGTAGAAATCGGCCAAAATAGAGAGATAAGCATGCCAAGGGAGTTTGGCCGTTGCTCTTTCCAGCCGCCTCCTCAAGCCTGGTAGAGGCTACATTATTACAGCAAGGAGGTCAACCTCCTTGGTTACAGGAAGTGGGATTTCTTGTTTTCCTTCTGGGAACAGGATAAAATCAATGTACGCGGACGTCATCCATGGAAATTACATAGTGTGGCCTTACAGTTCTTAGCCTGGGTACCATCATAAATGGATGATTTGGGCATATGGATGGTACCCAGGCTATACAGTTCTATGACTTATGAATATGGGCTGTGATATGTTTCGTCGCCTCAGTTCTTGTTAAACAAAGTTTATGATCTCAAAATTGTTACGTTGGAATCTGTTTTTTTAGCCCTATCGCATCAGATTTTGAGTGTGTGAAGGATGCCATCCATAATATTTATTTGCTGTGGCCTTATTGAGATAATCGTAACGCTTTTGTAGTTCTGTTCTGTTGGTAGCTCAGCGGTGTTTGCGCTTCATATATCATGAACTCACCGGGGCTTGTTTACAGACCACTTAGAATCAACACAAGTAAAGCATGGTTCTGAACATCCATTGTACTTCGCTATTTATACTATTACAGTATTTAAATCCTCGTCCGTTAATTAAACCAATACATTACTAGGCGGTGACAGTATCTTGGCGTAAATTCAGTGGCGTAAATCTACTCGCCTATCGAACAGTTTCCAGCTCGCTATTGTACACATAGAGGTATCCATGACATTTTGTCAAGTCTTCATCTTTGCTAACACTGTGTTAGCTGCAGATCACATGTTTAGGTCATACAGCAAGAATTCAGTAGTTTTAACTAGTGCCGTGATACCGATTAGATTCGACAATACAATGCCCTTTCCAGTTCCAACAAATTTATGAAATACAAAAACACTTCCTTGATCGAAGTCTGAAATCTCCGAAGTTTCCGTTTGGCCATGAATAGCCTTCACATCTCTGACGTCACGTATAACGCCCCTACTATAGGATTATTACGCGGAGGCGCAGGAACATCCGGTCTATGACGGCGACTCTAACCAGAACTACTTTGACGTCCTCGCCACCGAGAATGACACTCACACCATCGTGTGCTTCACCAGGAATATCGTAATGTGCAACTCCGACGATAGGACCATCATCGTAAGTACTTGAATGGAAGTACTGTTTTGGGTGGCACTAACTTATGTATGTATGTATGTATGTATGTATGTATGGGTTCAAAAGTGAGTGGGTGGAGATTGGGTCTTATTTGATTGAGCGAGCAGGTTTTGACCCTGTATATTTACTTCCTAAAAGTTTGAAGTCTATGATTTCTTGTTGTGTTTTGGCGTGCGTTTGTATTTGTGAGACAAGCAGAGGGGGTTTGAGAGAGGAGGAGAGAGAGAGAGAGAGAGAGAGATTGAGAAATAGAAAGTCACTTTTAGGATTGTGTTCTCGCCGCCTACATTGGCTACATATAACTGCAAGAAGCAGTACTCGAGTCAGAAGCTGTGAGGAAAGTGTCTGACAGGCACTAAACGTACATGTAAGCAGGTACGGTGAGAAACATGACCAGTTGTGTAAGAAGAAAACACGTATAGCCTATGTCCTTCCAACCTGATGAAATTATTTTCGTCATACTTGTAACACTTGTTCCTTCTATCCTTGTACCTCAGTTATCTAACTTAGTGCATTTGGCCCATGTAAGGCGTGAATATGCAATAAAGTTCATTGTCATTGTCATTGTAAGTTATACCTGGAATGTTTCACAAGTATTACCCTTACATCGTGTGCAGAACGGAACCAACCGTGTGATCTGGGCCTACCACGCCGACGACCCGACCAGCCCGAGGTCTCTGCTGTACCACGGCGCCACCAACCGGGGCAGCCGCAGTCTCCACATCCTCTACCCGCGAACCGAACCGGCGCTGCCCGCTGACGTCCAAACCCTGGAACTTTTGAACCAAAACGTAAACTAAACATCTTCTATTCTAAGTCACCTATTGAAATTAAATCACCTATTTAAATCACCTATTTCACATTTCCCATAATGTACCTTCATATTACCCATAATGCACCTTCAGATTTCCCATAATGAACCTTCATATTACCCATAATGTACCTTCATATTACCCATAATGCACCTTCACATTTCCCATAATGCACCTTCATATTTTCCCAAAAATCTTCTATTCTAAGTCACCTATTAAAATTAAATCACCTATTTCACATTTCCCATAATATCAATGCATGCTACCTCTCTATTTGGCCGATTTCTACTCTTTCCAGTCGCCTCCCGACGCCTTGTAAAGGCTAGGTTTTAGCTGGCTTTGTTCCTGGGAAAAAACTGTCGTGCGCCCGTTTTGCGATCTCTAAAGGTGCATTATTGTGAAAAATGTAGCGGGATGTCTGACGCCTGTCTATATTCTACAGTACACCGTTCCAAACACTTCGGACACCACCTACCTGTGCAGGGGGTACAAGGTACCGGACCTGGGCGGGAAGAGACACCTCATCAGGGTACGTCAACATACTCACTCAGGGGCGTAGGTCACATGTGTGTGTGTATGTATGTGTGTGTACGTTTGTGTGTGTGTGTTTGTTTATGTGTTTTTGTGTGCGTCCGTGCCTGCGCGTGTGTGTGTGTGTGCGTGTCTGTGTATACGTACACGCCAGTGTGCGTACTATGTGTACGTATTTGTGCATGTGCGTGTATGTTTGTGTAAACGTATTTGTAATTATGTGTATGCTTGTGTATATGCGTGTGTATGCATGTACGTGCTTGAACGTGTGCGTGTGTGTGCGTACGTGCTTAAACGTGTGCGTGTGTGTGTATATATGTACGTGTTTGCACGTGTGTGATTGCGTATGCATGTGTATGTGTGTACGTGTACGTCTGTGTGTGTGTTTGTGTGTGTGTGTGTTTGTCGTGTGTGTTTGTGTGTGTGTGCGTGCGTACTCTGTGTATGTGTACGTGCCATTTTTTCAAACGTGCAGATTTGTGATTCGCAACATTTTGCTTTTGCTTCAGTGGGAGCCGGTGATCCAGCCTGGGAACGAGGGCGCCGTGCATCACGTGGTTGTGTACTCGTGCGGAGTTGAGCCTGACCCTGACACGCATGATGGCGGGGAGTACACGTGCTACTCCAACATGCCCGGGGAGTGGTACCATTGCAGCATCACTCTTCTGGCCTGGGCTATCGGAGGATCGGTCAGAAACGTCTTCAATCTTCCTTTCACGTTTTGTTTTCGTTTGGCGAAGCTTGAATCCCAGGCACACATTCACGATTTGGCCCTCCCGAGAACTAGCCTAACGCCCGCCAACAATGGTTTGTTTGTTTGTTTGTTTGTTTGTTTGTTTAGATCTCCATTAGTATGGAAGTCAACTCCATACTATTCTTCCTGGAGTCCACGAAATACAATGAAATAACAATAATAATGATGATAATAATTGCTTTTAGCAATAATAATAAATAAAACATACAAATCATACTGAAATTATAACAACTTGAGACAGAATCAATCATAGAGAAAAACAAATGAATTGGAGATCAGAGGTCAAATAATAGATGGTGGGTCGACTGGCGTTCTGCTACTGTTCTGCTGTGACAGCCGAATGTTTCGAAATGTTTTTAACATTCGTGGGGCGTGTGGGAGGGTCGATCATAGTTCGCTGGTTTTCGACCGTAAGTCAGAAAAACACCAAGCCAACTATCTATATCCGAGAGTAAGTCAGCAGTGTTCGGGGCGTGATCAAATTTGATTCAGAATTAACTCAAATTCGGAAAGTCGTGAGTGTGTGAGTTGGTATTCACTTTTATCATTATCTTATGTTCCTTCAGTCCTTTGACATGCCCGAAAACGCTGGGATCTCCGTGGGAGATACGAATGATCCGAGATTCCTCATGGTGGAAACACATTATGACAACCCCGAGCTGAGAAGCGGTAAGTCGGTTTATTCGACAGCACTGTCGGTGGCCATATGCCCAAATCATGCAAATGCCGTTTTTCTATTAGCTGAATTGCTTATTCCCGATTGACTGTCGGTCACTTGTCCCAAATCTCACTCTCTTATTGGCCTAATCGCTAATTTTGATTGACAGCCAGGAACGTTAACGGTTTATTACATCTCAGTGACACAGTTAGTTGAGCATTGAAATAGAAAATGACCGTTTGCAATTGGAAAACTCCTTACACAAGTTAAACGACTAGCTGTGACAGCTATGAGGTAGTGCCTTTGGTCTTGCCTTTGGCAAATGAGGACCTGTATATACATGTACGCCTACCCATCTGTCGCAAGCGACAGGAGATTCCAAGAGTGCCTTTGGTCTGCCCAAGTCTGCCCATGGGTAAAATGCTAACCATATGTTTTAAAAACACCCCAGACATCGTGGACAGTTCCGGATTGCGGCTCTACCTCACCGCCACCTTACGGGAGAACGAAGTTGGTAACCTACAGGTGGGCGCTGATGTGAGCCAGTACCACAAAATTCCGCCAGGGAGCGCTTCTCACACAACTGTCGCTCACTGCTATTCCGAATGTCTGCAGCAGGTAAGTGTCTAAATGGTGTTTTTACCCTCCATGTAATGGGGGTATTGTTTTTGGTCCGTTTCATGTTTTGGTCTGATATCTGAAGATCGGTGAAAAGGAACTGTATGATATTTGGCAGATTGATGGATGGGGCCTTGGAGATTGTGTAGGTTGACTTTGAGCCCCTGGTGATTGACCTTGGTACTGCAGTTTAATTTTTATTCTATTGTTGGCGCGTTATGGACTGTTTGTGCGATATTAAGGTAGCATATAGTTGTTATTATTATGGTTTAGTGGTTTAAATTTGGGTTTCCTAGCTGTTTGCGTTTGATATTTACAAAATGTTTAACGTTGGTCTTTTTGTGTTGAATGTTTTGAAAATCTGGTGGATGGTTTGGTATAATTTTTGGTATGTGGGTAGCTGTTGAGTCTCTTTGTGTTTTAGAGTGCATTAGCAGGTTGTCGTACATTTGTATTGCTTAATTTAAAAGGATTTCTACATTATCACCCCTATTTTATAGTAGTGTGGTCTTTGTTGACCCCAATTGGGATACAGTGTATCTATTTTTACCTCCTGTTTGACAGGCTATATATTTTTTTGGTCTGGTTGTTTTTGGGTCTGCCGGCCTTGCTAATGGGGTGGTTTGTTTGTGTTGTGATTGATAGCGAGTAGGAAACAGACATCTGTGCCTCTGTACCCCCCCCCCCAACCTCTGTTACCAATTAGTGATGTAAATAAACTACCTCCGACCGCGTGGTCGGGGCCAGTCTTCTCCTGAACATACCTATAACAATGAACACATGCGATAACATAAAAAGGAACCCTAACAACACCAACCTCGTTCATGGAGGGAAGATGTCTATTGCTTGTTTATTCAATGGTTTGTTTTTTATTCAACATTTATTACAAGACATGGTGACGGCGCACACTCATGTTTCTTTCAACTTATTTTCATGCCGCCATCGACGCAGACAAACGCATGAACGAGCAACAGGCATTCTTATTTTCACCTGAGTGAAGAGAAACAATTCGTGTTAATTGCCTTTCCTAGGGGCACGAGATCGGTGCCATGGCAGGATTTGAACTCGGGACCCCTTGATTCCAAACCGAACGCTCTGTCGTTTAATACGCCATATACGACTCCCATGTCTAAATGTTGGCCATGTGGCCTTTTTATCTGGCATTAGGAAATCCCATGCAACTTTTCTAACAAAACATTTCATGCAGCCAGATTTCATTCACTGTATCCTTGTGTTAATCCAGGGCATGGAGGATATTTCGGCGCCTGCTCTGAACGTTTTTGCCGTGTTCGGGCACGCGCACCTGGCCGGTAGGAAGGTGAATATCCGGCATGTCCGCGGGGCCAGTGAGCTTCAGGAGCTGTTCAGGGACGACAACTACGACTTCAACTACCAGGAGACCATCTCGCTGGACGAGCAGAGACAGCTTCTGCCGGTATGTACCTTGCTTCTTCTTTGTTAAATTAAGGCGACCACCTTTAACGTTAATGAATATTCTGTCGCCTGTGAGACTGAAAACTGCTAGTATCTTTGAAGACATAACCACAAGGTGGCCATTAATAAAACCAAAATAAGTACAAACAAGACAAGTTGGTGATGATGGTCAAGTATGAGAATCTACCCGTACAGTAACTACACTGAAACGTCTGGCCGTTTCAAAATCATATCCAGTTTGTTTATTTATTTTGTTTATTGTCCTTTCGCACATAAAAAAAGTAATGGTATAAAAAGAAATTATGTACAATCAAATACATGCAGGAGAGCCCAAGAAACCAGGAGGTTTATCTAGTGGGCTCTCCCAAATCCTGTTGATGATCTCATATTTACAACATTATTTACGTTAACAATTAACATGCATGTCTTAAGGGACAAACAAGAGAAAATTAACTCAAACAAGATAATATAAAGTTAACACGGCAAACTAAATATCTAAACAATAAAGTAAGACAATCAAAAACATATCGTATTCAACAAAAATACATTTCCATTAGTCAAATCATAAGTTAATATGGTAAGAACAACATAAGAAACCAATATTAACGCAAGGAAAATATCGTAGCATAAGAAAACAAGGAAAACAAAAGCAAATCAGGAAGTGGTAGATGGCTTCTCTATTAGGTCAGTTTTTAAATATCGTTTGAAAGTTGGAAGGGATTGGCAATTCTGCTGTGAATGACTTATACTGTTCCAAATTAACGGGCCTCTAAACATTATCGTAAACTGTTTCATATTTGATTTTGTTAGGATTGGCCTTAAATCATTTTGCTTGAATAACTGTTTATTTGGCGTATCTTTATTCATTTATTCATAAAAAACAAACGCCATCGGGAGGGGTAGACATCATTAACCGTTTGTGCTTCTCTCTTGTTCCCCAGGGAGACAGCATCTTGATGGAGTGTACCTACGACACCACGGACAGGAACGGCGTCACTTACGTACGTTACATGATTTTTGTCACTAAATGTAGCACGACAGCTTGGGTACCATCCTACTTGTATGCCGGGGCTCCCATACTCGCTTCCCTAAGAAGTAGTCCTTCTAGCACGACACTTGTAGTGGTCAGAAATATGCTGCACATACATGTACGCCGAGTTTGCAAAGCAAATCGAAAGGGCACACTTATTCTATGTATATTATATCAAACAGTCCTTTTAAGTCTATCCACGTTTTTTTCAACCAAACCACTTATCACATACGTCACAGCATCGTTGTACGCCCGCCAACTAGTTAACTGAATTCATTCTTGGGAAAGTCGTGCATAAGCCGCACGAAATTCCGAAAAAAGACTGTCTTAAGCTTAGAAGCTTGTCGCCAAATGTCGGGGTTGGCTCTGTCACAACGTCCTTGAAAGATCCACGACAACAAGGCCCAATTCCCACTAGGATTAAATTGTCCGGATCGAGCCGAATTGATTCGGTTTGATCCGGCTTCGATCCTGCTTCGAGCCGGATCGAGATGAATCGGAGCCGGATCGAAGAAGCCGGATCAAACCGAATCAATTCGGCTCGACAATTTTATCCTAGTGGGATCGTACGAACGGCATGACTGAGCCGCGGCTTTTAGGTAGTTTTCCAACACTGTATTTTTTTAATGAAACTTTATTGCATGTTCATTCCCCGGGGGGATAAATGCATGGATGTACAAAGTACAATGTACTAGAGAGTACTACAACAATAGTAATAAAGAAAGCTAACATTAGGTCTAAGGTATACAATGCTAAAAATAAAATAAAAAGAAATATATATATATAAGTGGTATTGATCTAAGTTCTAATGGCTTGTTATCTCTTTTTGAAACATTTTGAAACATACTTACATACTTCATTGATGTACAGGGAGGTCTGAAGACTGAAGACGAGATGTGTATTGCCTGGATTCTGTACTACCCCAAGATGGAGCTAGCCAAGTGTGAGAGCTGGCCCATGTCGTACTGGTACCTCTACAGTCTGTCCGCCACTGCCACGGAGTTTAGGTAAACCCCTCCTAGACTTAGCCTCCTTCGCAGTCTCGTGGGCGTTATTTTTGTGAGCGACGCGAGTAATATGCGGCCGCGAGGGACGATTTGCTGCCGAGGGAGTTTTTGCCACGGAGAGAAGGTTTCCCGCTCCAACACTTGTTCACAAATCGCTCACAAAAATAACGCCAACGCCCAACATGACTGCGAAGGAGGCTATCCTAGACTGTCCATCACAATTATCAGCTGTCTTCATGCCTCAATGTCCATTATACAATCATCAGAACTTGCTGGTTTGCTTGTTCATCTTGTTAACCTTAATATGTCAGACAATGCTAAACTGTACCTCATTCTTAGAGGCCCCACGTTGTTACCCTCAATGTACAACTTTAAAACGATGCGACTCACACAAACTTATATTTAAGACACCAGGCGCTTGCAGCTCTGCCGGACTGTTTTTTTATCAGCCAAGTAGATATAGAAGCGTGTGATGACACTGCTTGTACCCCATGTGGTAGGGACTCGTTCCATACTACAATACATTTGAATGTTTTATTTGACATTTCTATGTTTTCGGGGAGACGGGTCGGTATATTCAAACTAAGAAAATGTGACGTTGTGTGGTCAATAGTTGGGTATTTTGGTATATTTTTTTACATCTAGCATCTTCTTTTATTTTTCCTTTATCTCTAGCGTTGCTGAGAATGACTTTGTCGCCACCGCCCCGGCCAACGTGGCGGGCCTGACTGCCGATCAGATACTTGCATCTGACATCACCTGGACGGACGAGCTAAGGGCGGATTTTCAGGTCAGTTCAACTTTATTTATTTATTTATTTATTTATTACACTTAACCACATACATAACATACATGGAGGGCATGGTGGAACAGGTGCACATAAGTGCACCTTTTCAAGGCCACCATGCCCACATTGTTGTTTCAATTTGGATTTCTTTTCAATCACACTACAAAACTAGCCAAGATGTACAATTTGCTCAGATATTATTCCATAAATCCAAACGTTCGCTGAGGTTTTTGCCAACTTTGCACTTCGGCACCTGCCGTGGGGAATAATCTATATAATTCATCAATCGTAAAGGTACATCATTTGGCGAAGTTGAAGTTGTGGAACTCTAGTTCGTACATTGTTTTGTTAATTAGTAGCGCAATGCGATGTTTGTTTCTGCGTATATGTGTTATGTAATCTATGTCATCGTTGTTTTCCCATAGCGAGCAGAAACACAGGCCCAAAGGTTCGAGAGATGCGTGAACAAGAACAATGACCTAGTACACGGCAATGGCACGGTCAGTACAGCCTCACTCTACCTGAAACAACATTATGGAGGATTTAACATTTGTTGCAATACAAACAAACTACACTGCACGTAAAGTTAGATTTACCACTAGTGGTAAATTGGTCTCATTGGTCGAACCGTCATTTTTTTCATTGGTTGAACTGCTAATTATGCTGCATATTTTGTCAAAAAAGGGAGTGGATCATCTACCAATGAGTTTAGACATTGTGGCTGCTTTGGCTTCCCATTGAACGAAATGTTTAAACCTTACACGTGGATGGATTTAACCCATTTTGACCCAGTGACTTGCTTGATTTTGCTTTATCCTTCATTTAGCATTGAAAAAAATAAAATAAAACCTGGACTTCATTATGTTTACCAAAGAACAGCAAATTGTTTTTGCTCTGTTTCATCTTCCGTTCCAAACACATAACAATGACCTGCACCAGACGTCTGTCACCATGGTAACTGGTGTTGGCTTACATCATGTTGCAATTTTATAGCAGGAGGGATTTAGACTCCTGTCACCGTATATATGAATGTTTTTGAGTAAGAATTAACAGAGCAGACCATATGCGAAGGTAAACAGTATGCATTTGCTTTGCAAATGTTGCTTTTCTAGTTTTAATTTCTCTCCATTCTGTGTGCATCCCCAGCGCCCTGTACCGCCCGTGATAGAGTTCCCGTGGGTTGCGGCTGACGAGTGCGCTGGAGCGGACGCTGTCACAGCCAGTATGGTCGCCAACATGCTGCTGGTTGCCTTGGGCTTCGTACTGATAACAGTCATGTGAAACACTCATCTGCATAGTGGTGACTTCATCTGCATAGTGGTGACTTCATCTGCATAATGGTGACCTCATCTGCATAATAGTGACTTATCTGCATGATGGTGACTATCTGCATAATTGCGACCTCATCTGCATAATGCAACTTATGTACATAGTTGTGCCAAACGTTCTTGTGCCTAATGCTGCTCCTCCCATCCTGTAACATTCCTATTCAATATTGGCTTCATCACACAACCCACAAATAGATTATTCAACTTCATTTCGATTTCATTCAATTTCATCCTATATAGCCCCGCCCACTTCCAACGAAACGTAGGAATCCAATATGAGAACATGAAGCTATTTGAAGGACACGTTGGGACACTATTGGATAAAACGAATGAAATCGCCGTAATTTATCCAATAGAAGAGTTTTATTTTTTAATGAGTATTTGAGGGGCATACAAACAACCTCTCATTTTTCGCACTGCTGATTGCTATGCCATCATTGTTTGAACTGCCAACTGTAGTGGATAGCAAGGATAGGTCTATCATCACCCCTTCCTGTCCCCACTGCTTCAAACATTCCCACTTGAGTTGCAACGTTTCCAACATTTGCTCCCACACTTTCAATCACAATTCTTGAACACGGAAAGAACACTGTCAGGTGGACTGATTTTTGTGCCCATATTCCCGGCCTGTGTTGGCACAGTGGAGTGTATCTGAAGCTTAAATGGTCACCTTTGCGGCCTCTCTGTCTGAGCTTGTATTTGCCATGGATCACCACAGTTTGATTTAGTGCGTGTTTATGTGTGTGTTTGTGTGACTTAAATGATTTGCGTAACTTTACGTACCAGTGCCAAAATTTAAACCCTGTATGTAACAGGCTAAAGAACTGCCTGCAGCTGGAAATGTCTTAATCTGTAACGGTGCGGTCACAATTGTTGTACACGGATCGTCGTGCGGTATTTTGATGACGTAGGATTATCACGTGATAGAAGCAACTACCGACATGGACCTAAGACATAACTTAGATTTTCAGATTTGCGACAAGAAAGCTGAATTAATTTGTCAGGACACATAACTATCCTAAAAATACATGCAGTATACGATAGTACGACCATATCGTACGATTGACGTATTTGACCGGCCCTCAACCGACGGTTAAGAAAAGATCTTTCTTTTTGTGACTTTGTGTGAATATTATGCCTGTCTTTAAGACAATACAGATGTTAAACGTTTATTCTTTTTAATTTACTTGTAAGGTATCAATCTCTTAATGAGCCTGTATACTAAGTATACTATACACCTTACATTGTGTTTAAATTAATAAATTCTGCCTTGTACATCAGTTGTCTCCATTGTCTGTTCAAGTGTTCGACGCATAATATGGATGGAAATTGTGTGTGTGTGTATTACAGAATGCCACTGGCTTTTTGCTAAGTTACAACAATACAACTATGTTGGCAAGATTTTAATGTGCTGATATTCAAGTTCAAATTCAGTTCAAAATTAACATAATAGAATGCAAAATGGACCATTCAAAAAATACTTTCACCCCAATAATGGACCATTCCAGATCCCCCAGTTTTTTCTTGAATATACACCTACTGCTCCAATCTGACTCAAGTTATCTGGAATGCAGAAAAACAAGTCTGCGCTATGCCGAATTACAACTTGTGTACGTGACTGGTAAAAAAACGCCAGGAACAAACGTTACGTTATATAAACAAATGACACGATACCCAGGTTTCCTACAATCATATTGATAAGAGAGAGAGGGGGAGAGAGAGAGAGGGGGGGAGAGAGAGAGATTTTCGTTCCCTGCAGTTTTATTGGCAAGATGGCCATATTCGTTGCACACCGTATACATACACACACACGCACACACGCACACACACACAAACACACACACACACACACAAACACACGCACACACACGCACACACACACACACAAACACACACACACACACGTATCAACTTAACTGCCTTGTTGTAAAAATAAGTTGTATAAGAAGGCTTGAAAACTAGAGAAAACACAACAGAAATGGTTCAAAGAAAATTAATATTAATACACACACGTGTCACAAATTCTGCGAGGAAATTAAATTCTATAAACTCTTTGTAGTCCTTCTCCGCAAACTTACGTAAGCTATAAACACAGAAAAATAAGTCTACGATATGCCAAAGGGGAGCTTGTGTACGTGACCAATGAAAAATGATCTCTACAACGAAATAGAAGACACAATAATATGATATTATTTTAGGATAATTTATTATAAGGTACGTGGTACAGCATAAACAAGATCTTAGCCCAGCAGTAAAATACTACATTATTTTCAAAAATACACACTAATACGTAGTAAGTCACACTTGTTGGTTATGCATAAACATCGCAACATCAGACTTCTAGACTAATACAGGCAAGTTAAAAACAGCTAGGAAAGCGATCAGCTCTAGATTGTGTCCCAGCCGAAGTGCTGGCTGGCGGGTGCGCCGCCGGCAGACGGACTACAGCAGGTCTAACACAGCGAACAGACAGATATCCGCAGTGATGGCTGGCCCACGGGAGACACCGCGTCTGGAGGGGGAAGAAATAGAGATGTCAGTCCTCCAGGGGGGCTTCAACCGCCAGGATCCGGAGGTACCGCCGCCTCTTCCCCCCAAACAGTCCCGTCAGGACCCGTCCTGTCACCCCAAACAGACCTGGACGGACCCGTCCTGTCGCCCCAAACAGCCTCAGCAGGGGCTACCGGCTGGTCCGGAGGATCCAACTCACCGCGCTAGACGGAAAGGTGGAAGAAAGGCCCGGAAGGAGCCCTCCCGTCCCCCCGATCAGACTCTCGACCTACCGTCCCGTTCCACCGACCAGGCTACGGGCGAAACTTACCTTCCCCCCGAACAGAGCCCGGGCCCGTCTCGTCGCTTTAGATGGAGACGTGAAAGAAGGGCCTGGAAGGTTGGTAGACTTCCTCAGTAATTGTCAAAATTGTGATATAAAAATACATAAAGAGAGTGGGGTGTGGACAGCTTTTTTGTTTAATTTTTTTAATGATTAATCCTTTTATTAATGGTCAATTTGTATCACTTTTAAGACATTGTATAAAGTATGCTCCTATTCAGCTCATATAACGGCTATATAATGTCCTTTGAAGTAAATAAATAAACCGTTCGTTCCAGATACCGATCGCGTACCAGGTACCGACTCGTCACACGGACGAGACCCCGGGACTACCGCCTCGTCCCCCCGAACAGGCTCCAGACGAACCATCGGTGACGCCGATCCGCCCCAAACAGAGAGACGGAAAAACGGCAGGCGTGTACCGGCACAGGCTACGGGAGGAAGACCTCGTCAAGCTGCCGCTGAACCCGATGTACGGGGCAGATCTAGATCTGCCGTCAGGTCAGTTCTAATTCTTACATTACATGTGCAGAACTAGATAGAACACCACCAGCCTAGAAATGACAACATATACACCTACCCCCACTCCGTCTCTGTTTGGTCCACAAAAAAGCTACAACCGACGAAACACGACCCTATCAATTATGATTATGGAAAGAAAGTAAAATACACTGGAAGAGCAATTTATGGGTAGTAGGTAATTTTTTAAATGAACCTCCAAGTAGTTGTCCAGTATTTGTGGAACATATTTTTACATATATTTCGTGTCTTCAGAAAATTTTTTAAAAAGTTGCAAGAACAAAGCAAAAACCACAACAAAACTAAACAAAAAATCAGATGTTTGTAAACAAATAACATTCCTTTGATAATTTTCAAATTGTGTACCTTAATTTCTAATACCAACACCAGTGCAACATCTACATGTAACACCATTAGTATCTAGCCTCCTTCGCAGACTTGTGGGGCAGCGGCGTTAAATTTTTTTTTTCGGGGAGCGACGCGAGTTATATATGCAGCGGAGGGACGGTTTTGCCGCCAAAAGTGTTTGCCTGGAGAGAGTTTTTCACCGGGACAGTGAAAAACTCTTGAAAAACGCCGCCCCACAAGTCTGCGAAGGAGGCTAATTAGTATAAATGACAACCGCTGCGTCAGCGATTTTTGTTGTTCATGGTGAAATGCGAGCTATGTATACGTAATTTACATCATTACAACTTCAAACTCTCCTTAATGCAAAAAAAAAACACCAAGATGATGAATATGTTTCTGTGCGTGGGCGTTATTGTGGTTTTATAAACATCATAAGTCGTATCTAGCATGCATGTGGATAGGTGTCGTTTTATGGACACCAATACAACAAGGCACGAGTTAATTATATACTTTGGAGACTTTTCGGATACCTCTCGATAAGGAAATAAATTACTAATAAATAAATAAATTAATTAATGATAAATTGCTAACATGTACTTCTCTTTGATTGTAGAACCCGATGACCAACAAACGACTCCCAAAGAAGTGTTTGGGGCAGCCCAAGCCGAGATGACAGCCTCGGGCGGTCCGGCAGACGACAGTCCACCGGCAGACGGCCCCGGTCAACCTCTGAACCGAGATGCCCGCAGCGCCCGGCCGGTCCACTCTACCCAGAGGCCCGGAAGAAAAACCGGCGGTGCCCAGCCTGCAGCGGCCGCCGCACACATGTACGAGGATGGGGAGACGTTCATGGGTCTCGGACAGCCTCTGAACCGCGACGCTCTCGGCGCTCCGACCCTTCCCAAGTCCCCGAGGCCAGGAGGAACCACCGACGGGGCCCAGCCTGCGGCGGCCGCCGCACACACGTACGAGAATGAGGACACGTTCAGACAGGGTCTCGGGCCAGCTCTGAACCGGGATGACGGCCCGCCACCTGTCCCCTCAACACCGAGACCCGGAGGACCGCCCGGCGGGGCCCAACAACTGCCGAGCTGGCCACAGATGCTGCTGAACCCGCAAGCCATCATCAATCAGCTGCAGCCGAACGCCATGTACGACTCCAACGTGAACCATCCTCAAGGTTGGTATATAACAACACAATTGTCTCTTTCATACGTTTCGTGTAATCAGCCATTTTATTCTCTTCTATTGTTTAATGACGAAAGCTAAATACAAAATGCAAACGTATAATTAAAACTAGCAAAGAAATATGAGTTGAGTTCCCACTAATTTTATTTGATTTACAAAGCCATAAATAGCAATTGTTGAGTAATAATCTTCAGTTCTATTTATAATGCCTTAAAACACGCTGACACAGAAATTTTGCTGTTGTTGACAACCACAATGACAATTTCAAAATTAAAACCATTAGGAGAAAAATCTTAATTAACACAATTAATATATTTCTTTACTGTCCCCCGCATAGGCGTCGGACCAGCCCCGGAGAGCCGTACCGTTTGGGAACGATTACGTCATCACCAGTCCCCCCGCCTGCTGATGTGCGCCGCCATATCGTCCGTTACCATGGTAACACTGCTGATCGTGGTGTCTGTACTTCTGACGCACCGCTACTCCCGACCTGGCTACAACGACTCTGTAAGTTTATTGAATTTTTTTTAATTCATATATGAATGATTGTGAAAAAAAGCTGACAAAAAGACAAAAAGCACATGAGATGGGAATACCACTTTTCCATCATCGTTGACTTCCAGATAAAGACTTTATCTTAAAAAAATGCAAAAAACATGGCATTGTTTATTTACCACTTTACAGTCGGCTACAAGCACAGAAGGACCTAACACCTTTGGTGGCAGTACTGCCTGGCAAAGTTCTACTGCGGTGACGAGACCTGACGAAGTACTGACCTTGATGACAGCTGCTGACGTCATCAAGGTCAGTACTTGTCAGTATTTATGATTAGTTTTTGGATTGTTGCACATCCTCCACACTTGCAGCCATGGTAGACATAAAACAGAAGACGTCTAAGCTGTATCCGTGACGCCCAAACATGTAACAACGATGTAACTATTAATATAAGATGGCGTTTGTCAGCTATGATTTCTTCAAACCGCGTTGTCTTTTGTATCACAACCAATGTATTGTTTGTTTGTTTACCTCTTCACAGCCGGCTACAACTACATCAGGACGTAACACCGCTGACAGCACTGCCTGGCGAAGTTCTACAGCGCTGATGAAGACTGACCAAGGGGCATCGGCTGATGTCATCAAGGTCAGTACTAGTCAGTGTTCCTTGGGTTTATGGTGGCTGCTCATTTAGGATAATTGAACCCATGGTAGACAAACTAGACATAGGAAAAGAAGTCAAGCACTATATTTTATCATACACATTGTATGCACATTGTAATTTTAGGTATCTGGCAATTGCAACATTGGGTAACGAGAGGGGGTGCAATGTACTGTTACAGTACATACCGTTGATTACTGTTGTTCTGTATGTATATTGTGTGGCGAAGCAAAATAAGCTGTAACTTGATTGTACGTCACATTGTCCTTGTCTTTTGTGTAATGATAATAAAACAGGGACATAGAACTAAAGGCCACTATTGGCGACTTCAAATTTGTATCCAAGATGCCCTAACAATGTCCATTGGTATATCAGTTGAAGCTCACAGTAGACAAGTTCGTTACAAACACGTGGTCCTTCGTGACGATAGGAAGTTTTGTCATTCTTTAGGCTCGATAGGTCTTTTCACTACAGGAAATCACAGACAGAAATCGAAATGGAAATTATGGAATTTTTCTCATTCTTGTTGCAGTTATGGTGGTTTGTTTACAATTTGACCCGTTCTAACTGTTTAGGTGAGTCCGGTCCACGGACGTGGTCCCTCACACTGCATCACTTCAACAGCAGGGCCTGCACCAATCAACAAGCCGGTTTCAACCGCCACTGAAGGTTTGTGATATGTAATAATCTGCCAACACATTAACGCATCACAATAGGGAGGGGGTACTGACATGATTAAGTATGACATAAGTAAGTCGACTGTGCAACAGACTGACAAAGAGAAAGTTTGACGTGGATTGCATGAAAGGGAATAAGGTCAATCTTTTGTTCCCGTAGATCACGGCAGCAGGGCACCCGTCATCACCTTTGGCGATAAGTCGGGGGCTGGAAAACTGCGCGGCGCACGCGGAGTCGTGGTTTCCCCAGACAATAAGATCTGGGTGGCTGACCAGACCAAAACCCGTCTCCAAGTGTACAGCATGGCAGGCGCCTTCCTGTATCCGTTTCCGCAAGGTGCACCAGGGCTGGGGTATCCGGCAAAAGAGCCATATGATGTGTCCATCGACAGAGATGGTCACCTGTGGGTCTTGATGAGTGGGTACCCTGCCAGCCCTGACTCCCTGGTGCAGTTGGACAGGGAAGGTCAGCTCAAAGCCAAGTTTGACCTCCCTGGCACTACACCATGGGAGGTGCACAGCGGAATGGCTGCGGGCTTGCGCAACAACCACGTTATCGTCACCTGGTCTGACGGTGCCTTCAGTGGCGGTGTGCAAGCCTTCCAGCCGGATGGGAAAGTCGTCTGGGATGGCCAACGGCGGATGAAGACGCCGACGAACGTCGCCGTGAACGGAGAAGGCAACATCTTCGTCTCCGACTTCAACACCCACTACATCTACAGGTTCGATGAGAACGGGCGGTACGTGATGAGGTTCGGAGGAGCAGGAAGGAGTGGTGGCGACCTGAATCATCCTCGCGGCATCTGTGCGGACAGTTCCGGTCACATCTTGGTGGCGGACAGAGACAACCAGCGCGTGGTGGTGTACACAGACCGGGGTGAGTATGTCCGCCACATCGCTGTCCGTGCTAAACTCCCAACAGGGGTTGCAGTGGGGCCGGGAGGACAGTTGGTTGTGATCAACCATGACACAATCACTGTCTTCCCCCGCTACTGACAATGATGCACAAAGATGCATGGCCCTTGTGGCATGGTTATGCAAAATTCTATAACCATACGCGTACATCTTAGTTGGCCTCGTATTGTGTACTTGTTAAACAGCAGCATACCTAGTTTTGAAACGTTTGAATACCATGATGGACACCTGTCATTCTGCCTGTCAGTCTTTCCTATCCAAGTGCTGCCAACCTGCTCTTACGCTCACATTATTTCCTGTTTCTGATCTTTGGCCTGTCATGATCAATATTCCCCTACCCACGTGATGTCAACTACTCATTACGGACAAACAAACCCACAAACCCACAGGTCAGCCACAAGGAGAAATTAACACTATAGGGAAATACTTAACTGACTTTGTACTAGTATGTAGACGGGAAACCTGTATTGTTGTTTGTACTGTAAACGTAAAGAAGAGCTCAACTCCAGAACCAATATTCCTTTTGCTATAGAGCTCTTTGCTATATATCTCTTTGAATCGGCAAAGAGATTTGTCCCATTGGCAGCCGTTCTTAATATTGCATCAAGGTGGCCTAAAAGAGGTAGAGGTGATTTGAATCAAAAACTAAGAGTGATCTTGAAAATGATGTTAAACGTTGTAGTCTTTTCAACGTAGTTGCCCTCTTGCTTTGGGCCAAAATTTACTTGGATCTGTAGCAATTATTGTATAGGCTCATGTATAGAAAACAAGAGGACTCTGTATAGGGAAGGGGGTATTATTCAGTAACTGCATCTTTGTTTACCTGTGGTGACGACATTACTATTTATCTACCTAGTATACGTAGTTGATGAAACTTTTGTGTGAGTTTTGCCTTTTTTTTTAATACAGAAGGAACATGTTAGAGCATGCAGGTCATATTCTGATGTGGAGAATTAATGGTCAAATGTATACAGTGACAGTAGTTGTATAATGTGCGTATTTACAATGTACTGAGTAGTCTTGTTTTGTATATAGAGTATGAACCAGCTGTATCAGTATCTGCAGTCCATGTTGTGATATGTAGAAATATTGTGACTCATATTATTGTGTATCTGTTCATATTGATTAAGCTTACTCTTTTTGAATCTTGAGGTGATATGTAGAAATATTGCTACTTATATTATTGTGTATCTGTTCATATTGATGAAGCTTACTCTTTTTGAATCTTGAGACCAATGTGCTGTTATATATTAGACAAATAAAAAATTATGATATAAATATTTTGTAATGAAGGCATTTAATGCTAACTTCATGTTGACTTTGCAATATCCTTTGATCATATGTTTCATTTCAAATCCGTACATTGAAGGAATGTCTTTATACTTCGTCTATGTATTTTATTTTGTATTGACTACAGGTGTTTTGTTGAACATCTATGAGGAAGTATTCACAAAACGTTAACCCAACACAAGAAGTTTACATTCAGAACAAATCTTGTTCATTTACCTGATGTTTCTACTCATAGCTCAGAAGTCAAATATGCTCACATGATAATCAGTGAGAGTTACCCACATTGTGCACTTTTGTAGTATTTTTAATGATCTTTAATGATCAAACCTATATTAAAATGATAATCATTGAAACCTTTCCATATTGTAGACAATTATATTTTATTTCCAGCTGCTACGACTTTCTTAAAAGCAATCATGTCCTTGTTAAAAGATGTGCTTTGAGAGCGTGAGCGGTGAAAGAACCGTTTTAACGTTTACTGTATTGATTTTATAGTGCTTCTGGTCTAACATGACAGTTAGTAAAAGTGTGTTTTCACTTATTGCAAATATCGCCAAAACTGTTATAATTGCAACTGGCATCAGATAAAGAAGAATTATCTCTATAATACACGCAAGAAGCAAATAGTCTGATTCTGGTATTCCGATCTGAACAAAATAAAGGATATCCATACATGAAACATCTACCTTTTGGCTCATTCTTAAGCACATACATGTATTATTAAATGTTTGTTTTGCTACTTGCTAGGAGCTTTGCACATACAAGGGCTCTGGAATAAATTGAACTTCGCATTTTTCCGCCTCCGGCTTGTAGTGAGTAGCTATGCACAAATAGGAACGCCAGTGTTTGAAAGCAACGCTGCCACAAGCAGAAAGTAGTCGGCTAAGTAGGGTCCTGAACTCCTGACACTCCGATATCAACAATGATTAAGGAAAACAAATATTATGTGCTAAGAACAAAAACGCACATGTCAGTATCACACAGTTTTCTATGTCACAAATGACACAAATTTAGATGTTTAGCACAAGCACGTTAAGTAAGTTCTGAGCAAGCCTTTAAGTCCAAATTTACTCCAACATTTCCGCCGCCTCCGGGTTCACCTCTTCCAGGACGACCTTGAACACCTGACGTGCGTCTCCTCCCTTAGTTCCCACGGTGTCCAGCAGTGCGCGTGCGCGGTCCTGGGGCGTGGCGTTGGCCCTGATGACGTCACACTCCTCGGTGCTGAGAACCTCCGTGGCCTGCAGGTGGTCCAGGACCGGTTCCACGTGCCTCAGGGCCTGTACCAGCTCAGGACGGTGTCTAGTCAGCTGGTCTTCTTTGTCTTGTACCTCATCGGCCTGCCGTGTGGCCATCAGCATGTCTGCTGCACGGGCGTCAACCTCCCCCAGGACGGACTGGAACACCTGGACTGCGTCTTCTCCCTTCCTCCCCACGGTGTCCAGCAGTGCGCGTGCGCGATGCTGGGGCGTGGCGTTGGCCCTGATGACGTCACATTCCTCCACAGTCAGGATGTCACGTGCCTGCAGGTGGTCCAGGATTGGCTCCACGTGCCGCAAGGCCTGGACCAGTTCTGGGCGGTTCCTGGTGAGCGGGGTCTCCACGTACAGCAGGTCACTGACCTGTTCTGTGAACCCGAGGATGGGGTGGACGATTCTACCGCCCTCTGCTGCTGCCTTGCTGATCTCCTCCATGCCGTAGGAGTAGAATTCCTCCCTGTGTTCCTTCAGTGCACGAGCGCTGAGCACCTTCTCGACTGTGCCTGTCCCTGGGCTGCTTTCTTCCAGCACCTCAGCGATGATGTTCTCCAGCTGCTGCAGCATCTTGCCACACTGCTCCTTGTCACCCTGCACACTCCGGACACAGATGTTGACTGTACGGCCGTCCGGAGAGAGTTTGATCAGACCTTCCACATCCCCGTCCACACACTTGACACCATCTCTCCACAGCAGCGGGCGATTCTCCTGCTCCCTCATCAGGCGGGTCTGCACTCGGGGGAAGAACCCGGAGGAGAACATGTCAGTGGAGTCGGCACACTGGACTTGCTTCCCAAAGTAGACCACCTTTGGCTCAGGCGTTGGTTGCCACTTGTCAGCAGGCATGGTTTGTGTCAGCAGCCCTGGGAAGATGAAGGTCTGTCCGTCATAGGAGTGGCAGAGCTGGAACTCTTGCAGCAGAGTGATGAGGAGATCCACGTCAGCAACGTCTTGGAAGACGCGCTCGATCTCCTCCCTGGTGACGTAGTCTTCGCTTGTTCTCTCCGGGCGGGGAATGGGGAAGTTGACTGGTGCCATCATTGGACCGATGACGTCTGTGCAGAGCCAGTTGGGCTTCAGGACAATGATGGGATCAGAAGAACTCGGACAGATGAAGATGATCTGTAACACAATCTTGAGTCACAATCAGCATATTGAGTCAAATCCATTATTGCGCTTACATGCATGGGATATCATTTCATAAGTATGAGTCATTACAATATAAGACGCAACATCAACATCTTGTCCAATGGTTTACGTTTATGGAAGTGGGTTGGATCAAACTGGACAAGATAGCGTTAAGTAAAATGATTTGTCCGCATAAAACGATCTACGAGTTTTGTAGAAAATATTCTTGCGAACAGATCTCAACTTTTTCTTCAGTTTCAAGATTGAAGAACCAGCTATTCTTCTAACAGCTGAACAAGGAGGGGCAGCCTACCTCCCCGAGATGGTCCAGATACCGTGTAGACTCCCGTAGGAAGTCCTCATCCACATGTGGGTCGATCTCTTTGACTGCGTCCAGGTAGTCTGGCCACCTCAGTACAGGACACTTCGGGCTGCACTTCGTCTGGCACCAGCTGGGCAGCTGCTTCATGATTTTTGCGCACAGCTTGGGCATCTTCCGTTGGTGCTGTGCAATGTATAAAAAGAAATGAATCATTTTAGATTCTTCTTGAAATTAACGATGTACTTTGTAAGCCTCATATATTTGTTTGTATTGAGCATTATCGTGCATCAGCCGCTGTAGCCTATAATATTACAGACACTTACTTCCAACATGGCCGTCTTCATCTTAGCCAGCAGTTTCTTGAGTCGGTCCATCTCAGGTGTTCTGGTTTCCTTACAGTTCATCAGGAACACTTCGTCTGAGATACGGAGGTGGTCCTTGAACTCTGACGTCATTAGTTGCAAAAGTTGGGCAGCTCGGCGTTTCCCTACATGTTCGTATCAAATGGAACGTACGGTAGGCTATTAAATGTTGGGTCGTGTGGCGCAACGTCAGTGTGCGCGACTCGGAATCAAGAGGTCCTGGGTTCGAGTCCTGACCTGCCACCGATTTTTTGCCCTTGGGAAAGGCACTTTACACGACTTTCCCCACTAGACTCAAGTGAAAATGAGTATTTTCTGTCCAGTATTTGATTCTATGTGCGGGACGCAACACCAGGAACGGGACGCAGCAATGTTGCAATTTCAATAAATCAAATCAAATCAAATCAGTGCTTATTTTATTTTTATCTTATTCTATTTTATTTTATTTTGTTTATTTTATTTTATTTTATTTTATTGAAATTGCAACAATGCAATACACTTAGCACAGAGGTAGCTATTGCTGGTATTGTGTCCCGCACATAGAAACGAATACTGGACAGACAATACTAATTTCGCTTGAGTTAAGTGGGGAAAGTGGTGTAAAGTGCCTTTCCCATGGGCACAAGATCGGTGGCATGTCAGGACTCGAACCCGGGGCATCTTGGTTCCGAGTTGAGCACTCTGCCGCTACGCCACACGACCCCGCCACGTGTTGGTAGTTACGTGATTGAACTTTTTTGTGTAGCACAAGAAATAGTTCCCACCTAGATCTTTCGATCATCAGACTATTGTATTTACCTGTGTTGAGTGACACTTTGTCCGCATGGCTGGCCACTAAGATGACGTCAGGCTGGCGGTTTGGGTTGCAGGACTTGATGAAGCAAAGCCACCAGTGGACCTGCAGGGAAACATTTGATAATCGGTTCCCATATATTAGCTGCCTAGATGATATCAGAAAAGGTCGACATCATTTGTCAACATTGGCCTTGACTTTGACGCAAACTATGACTATGACACAGAACATAGGCAAATATGTCCTAAACGCCTTGCAACTTTGAATACTATAACGGTACATATCGTTTGTTCACGTGGCTGTTACTGTACCTGTTTTTCTTGTGTCTCGGTGTCGACCATGATGTTGTACAGGACAATGAAGATGGTGTTCTCTGCATCCATGAACATACTGTGGGTTACCGCGTACTCCGACTGCCCAGCAAAATCCCACAGGCTGACCTCCCCCACCCCTGGAATATGGAACGTCCCAACATCCACCCCTGGGGTGGGGTCGTGAGGCTCCTCGGCTGACGATGATTTTCTCCATGCTTGGAGCACAGCAGAGACGAGGCCCTGTTGGACAGCATTTGGTCATTAGTTCACACAAAATCTACATAGAAAATGCTAACATAACCGCATTCCTAGATCCTCTACAGCAAAGGATTTGCCATTTGCAACTTTGTACTTAGAAAAAAGTGAGGATGAATGTCATTTTGTAGTTGATTGTACATTATATAGAAATGAGACAGATTCCCTCTATACCTCTATAAAAGATAAGTTTTTTTCTGAAAAATTGTATTCCTTATGAAACTTGAATCATGTATCATTATTAGCTCCATATGTTCGTACATCTACAACAGCGAGAAGAAGTTGAAGCTGTAAATAGTAGATCACAGTAGTATACAAAGTTTAAGTATGATATGACTGTGATTAATTCTTGTTAAGTCATGGCCTGTAATTAGATTGAAAGGTGTTTTATTCATTCATTCATTCATTCATTCATTCATTCGGCTTAAATTTGCGTACTCTCTGTCTGGGGAATCTATTTCTTTTTATCATATCATCATGCATAAATTGACCTTGGTAAGGTTGAGAAGCAATGGAATGTGGAAGCTTTACGTACTCTTTTAAAGCTAATCTTCAGTGTGGACTTTCCCGTTCCCGCCATTCCAAACACGAACGTCTTACACCTGTCGATCTTCACTCCGCCAGACTTCTGCAGCAGCTCATGGTAGGACCTTTCTTGCACCGCGTCCTTGATTCAACAAAAAGAAACAAAATGTAAACAACGTATGGGGGTGTGACTTTCGAGCGTCGGCCTTTCTCAAGTATCAACCTCTAGCAGAACCTTAACACTTGTAAGGAGCAGAAAATTTGTTTTTACTATAAACAACATAAATTAACATTCCATTATAAGACTTATTTGTATGTAAAACAAACCATTTCATAAGTCAAGGGGAAGTTTGCTTACCTTCAGGACACGCCGAGTTTGTCGGTTGCCAAGGGTTAACGGAGTCTTCCCATTCTGTAAGTGCAGATGTGAGGGATGTGTTACACTCCCGGTATACACATGTACACATTTATATTGTTGAACGTTTTCTTTTAGTTTCGATGACGTACGTACACACGTACATTACAGTACATCAACCTCAATCATTGCAAATAGATGTTTTTGCATTTATAGGCCAATTTATAATGTGTAATCAGCATATGCGCAAATCATCAGTTCGGTACATACTTATATATAACATGTGAATAAATAAATGAATATCTATGTCTGAAACGATCTGTATAATTTGATCGTAAATTCACGATATTCAAACGAAATATAACTACTCTCAACTTGACGTTATAATTTATAGGTTTGCTTTGGTATAATCTGAATTGACCAAGTAAAACCGCGCGCCAGTCGATATGGAGCTTCGCAGTCGCGCGGCGGCGGCTGGTTATATATCACACCGTATGAATTGTGGCAATTATCATGCATTATCATATATAATACAATGCAATATAACATACATTTCCCTGCATGACTAATTTTCTCCATTGAACCTTGTATTTAACAAGTACTTTGCTTGTATCTAACAAGTAGAGAACTGGCGTGGAACGTATGATGTTGTTTCCATACACCGTTGTTTCCATCCAAGCTGAACTTTGCTTGTGTATTGATATAGCTCTGTAAATATTTAAAGTCACTCATCCAAATATCCAGTAAGGTCCGCCTGAAACATAAAAACCATACCACATTCCTGGCCGTCACGTCTGCCCCATGACGGATCAGAAGCTCACAAGTCCCGGTGTGGCCCCCACCAGCAGCCCAATGCAAAGGTGTGTTCTCGGCCTGTACAGGGAGGATTCGAGGAAGGTCAGGGTCAGTAGGGATGGATTCTTCACGGACAACAGACATCACATTATGTAAGAAACAGTATGTGGTGACGTACACGTACATTTCTCCTCATCAATATGAGGTTTGTGTATTAATAGTGGTCAATTTATACAAAGGTTTGTGCAATTATCCTTGTCACATAAATCATGTCATATATCAGATAACGATATATAATATACATTTGTCTAACTAAGTTGTTCCTATGGAAATTGTATCAGAAATCGATCCCAGAATGTACAAGCAAACTTTTCCTTTCTCTCATATAGCTATGAAAAGGACTGTGTATGCATGTAGTTCATATAGGACATAGCACTGTCAAGTTCCATATCCAAGTATCCAGAAACCAGTAAGGTCCGTCTGAAACATAAAAACATACCACATTCCTGGCCGTCACGTCTGCCCCATGACGAATCAGAAGCTCACAAGTCCCGGTGTGGCCCACATCAGCAGCCCAATGCAAAGGTGTGTCCTGGATCTGTACAGGGAGGAATGTCAGGGTCAGTAGTGATGGGTTCTTTACGGAAAACAGTTGTCACATTATATAAGAAACAGTATGGTGACGTACACGTACATTTCTCCTCAGCAATATGAGGTATTTGTGTTGATAGTAGCCAATTTATACAAAGGTTTGTGCAATTAGCCTTGCGACATAAATCATGTCATATATCAGATAACGATATATAATGTACATTTTTCTAACTAGGTTGTTCCTATGGAGATTGTATCACAAATCGATCCCAGAATGTACAAGCAAACTTCTCATTGGTCTTCCTTTCTCTCATAGCTATGGAAATAACTATGTGTACATGTAGTTAATATATAGCACTATAAAGTTCAATATTCAATTAAGCAGTATACAGTAAGGTCCGCCTGAAACATAAAAATCATACGTCATTCCTGGCCGTCACGTCTGCCCCATGACGAATCAGAAGCTCACAAGTCCCGGTGTGGCCTCCAGAAGCAGCATAATGCAAAGGTGTGTTCTGGATCTGTACAGGGAGGAATGCCAGGGTCAGTAGGGATGGATTCTTCACGGACAACAGTTATCACATTATGTAAGAAACAGTATGAGGTGACGTACACGTACATTTCTCCTCATCAATGTAAGGTTTGTGTATTAATAGTGGTCAATTTATACAAAGGTTTGTGCAATTATCCTTGTCGCATAAATCATGTCATATATCAGATAACGATATATGATATATTCATTTGTCTAACTATGTTGTTCCTATAGAGATTGTTTCACAAATCGACTCAGAATGTGCAAGCAAACTTCACATCGGTTTTCTTTTCTTTCATAGCTATAGAAATAACTGTGTAAACATGTTGTTCATATAGCACTGTAAAGGTCCATATCAAAGTAACGAGTAACCAGTAAGGTACGTTTGAAACATAAAAACCATACCACATTCCTGGCCGTCACGTCTGCCCCATGACGGATCAGAAGCTCACAAGTCCCGGTGCGGCCCCCACCAGCAGCCTTATGCAAAGGCGTGTTCTGGTTCTGTACAGGGAGGAATGCCAGGGTCAGCAGGGATGGGTTCTTCACGGACGACAGTTATCACATTATGTAAGAAACAGTATGTGGTGACGTACACGTACATTTCTCCTCATCAATATGAGGTTTGTGTATTAATAGTGGTCAATTTATACAAAGGTTTGTGCAATTATCCTTGTCACATAAATCATGTCATATATCAGATAACGATATATGATATACATTTTTCTAACTAAGTTGTTCCTATATGGAGATTGTATCACAAATCGATCCCAGAATGTACAAGCAAACTTCTCATTGGTCTTCCTTTCTCTCATAGCTATGGAAATAACTATGTGTACATGTAGTTCATAGAGCACTATAAAGTTCCATATCCAATTAAGCAGTATCCAGTAAGGTCCGTCTGAAACATAAAAAACCATACCTCATTCCTGGCCGTCACGTCTGCCCCATGACGAATCAGAAGCTCACAAGTCCCGGTGTGGCCCCCAGCAGCAGCATCATGCAAAGGCGTGTACTGCCACTGTACAGGGAGGAATGTCAGGGTCAGTTGGGATGGATTCTTCACGGACGACAGTTATCACATTATATAAGAAACAGTATGAGGTGACGTACACGTACATTTATTCTCAGCAATATTATATGAGGTTTGTGTGTTGATAGTGGCCAATTCATACAAAGGTTTGTACTATTAGCCTAGTCACATAAATCATGTCTTGTAACGCAATGTAATATGATATACGTTTGTATATCTATGTTGTTCCAATGAAGCTTGTATCCTGGTGATTTCCTCACGTTGATGGACCAATTTATGCATAAACTTTGTGCACTCAGCGACGCAGTACGAGGTGAAGTTCCGTCGATCACCAACAGGTCCAGGAATCTCCAGCTACACATTTGATATAAACCCACCATATCGTGACAGGTTCAAGTTTTTCATTTTATTTTATTTTACTCGTTAGAGCAAAAACAAGAGCTTAGTGCCACGTATGAGAGACAAACCTAAGTATTAAGTACAGATCCAGACGTATCAACTAGATTGATGAATAGTAAACTCAATTACCATAGGATAAGTCAAGGTAATGTTGTGCAATATGATATAGGATATAGCAGTGATCCAAACTACAATCACATTACAAGGGAATACGTGTGTGATATTAAAGAATGATAGTCGACTCAAAATACCGTCTTGCGTCTCTTCCTGCTGAGCTAAGTAGGACGGTAGCCTGACTAAAGGCGCGGTCACATTTCCCAACCCGGGGCCCGGCCGGGCAGTCGTTTGGAACGAAAATTATGATATGAGACAGCAAAACACAAAAAAAGTTTTAGAAAATTAACCTTGAGCACTATTTGTGAATACTCTTTGTACAAATTGTTTCTTTTTCGTTCACGCAAACAACCCGGCCGGGCCCCGGCTTGGAAATGTGACCGTGCCCTAAACAAGGTACACCCGACTGACCGACCCCGAGAAGGAAATTCAGTCTCAGTGGTAGTATAATATAATGAATCCTTGCACAAACGTTTTGCTTTAGTTTTATTACAACAAGGTGGTTAACAGTGCACGTGGTTTCGTCTATGATAGTGGACTAAATATATGTTAGACTACATCTAAATACCTGTTTCTGTAGGTGGGGTGCCATGGCATACGCATTCTTATGTGTGCAAAAAAAACAAGCCTTCCGCTTTCTAAACTTTGTATGACACCTCATGACTAATTTACTTCTTATCTATTTGAATTTTATAAAACATAATCTGAATGGTTAGAGAAACACCATAAGGGAACCATGAGTCACCCTGGCAGGGTTCAGGTCAGGAGAGCAGACAGAGCTATTTCTACTTACTCTGTCCCTCGCCTCCAGATCAGCGCCGTGTTTGATCAACAGTTCTGCTACTGCAGTCTGCCCGGACCTGCTGGCCACATGCAGGGATGTTCGCTCCTGGATAGAACAACAGTCGGGAAACAATAACCGGTTACCAAGCCACTCCACAAGCCATACATTCACTCAAAATGACACAACTTAACAACAGTTTTCTTACTGAAAGAAAATATGCAGGATGATATGTATGTAGTGTTCTTAGTTTTGTCCACATACCGCTTTTGTCCCGTTACCGGAGCGAGCCCTTTTATAATAGCTATATATAATACTTTAATAAATCAAATCAAACGAGAAGCATCACTCTTTTGTTATTAGTTTGCTTGACACCAACGGTTTACGATAGTTAGGTTTATTTTCCTTTTTAAATTAGACAATGTTCCTGATTGACTGTATCAGTGTGTGCTCATCATTCTCTGTTGCTTGCTTCGTTTTGCAACATTTAAACAATACAGCATACAAAGGTGCTATACTCGAGCAAAATGGCTATATATATATATATATCAACTAGTCTGGGTGCATTCCTCCGTCGTGTAATACCGCCGGCTCCCTATTGTCGCTGGCTCGGTGGGGTTATATATCAACGGCACCACTTAATGAATATTTACCTCCATGAAAAATGGAGGTATTGTTTTTGGCGGCGTCTGTGTGTGTGTGTGTGTGTCTGTGTGTGTGTCTGTGTGTGTTTCCGCAACTTTGTAGTCAGCATAACTTCATAACGCCTTTATGGATTGTTATGATATTTGGTATGCTGATAAGTCTTAGGAAGGCAAAGGTCAAGGTCAAATATGGGCCTCCTGGTGGATGACCTTGGTACTGCAGCAGAACTTCCGGTTTGAATGTCAGATGGAACATCAACAGATACTAATTATGCAAATGATGACCTAATTTGCATAATTAATGCAAAAAAATCTATGATTTCTCAATAGTGAATGATGGGAATGTCATACTTGTGACATGTTTAAGTTAATCAAAAGTTAACATCACGATGCATATATTATGTTAATGCAGAGGTCATTTGCGTAATTAAAGAAGAAATTTACATTTACATATGAAGCCCATATTTCATGGAGGTATGAGATCTCGGAACTCTTGTTGATATGTAAAACAGAAATGTGTAACGGGAATGTTTGATGTACAGAAACAGACGGGAACATCTTCGAATTAAAGTCTCTCTGTAACTTTGCACGAACAGTTTGCTTACCCAGATGCGCCATTCTCTCTTGGCCCTAACGTCCACCCCAGCGTCCAGTCCCCTCCTCACAGTCTGCACGTCACCTTCCTCCACAGCCGTGAAGAACGTGTCCAGGTCCATTTCCTCACTACCTGCAGGGGGCGACATGGAACAAATAATGTTTTGTATGTTTTGTTTATAGCATTTATCAAATAGCCATTCAACCAGAATATTTCTGAACAAATAAATGTCCTATGTTGTTTTCAGCAGCATTTGTTTTGTATATTTGTTTTATATCGAGAAACCACAGAGCTTCACGGATACATGTTCTCGTTGCCTCTTGTATATAAGTAATTAAATTACGCTAGTAGTACACACAAAGTTATAAATATCATTATGTAAAGCTCAAGTACAGTTAACACTAGGGTGTCTGAGATACAGATTTAAAGCAATCTCATTCAGCAGCATTAACTAAGTGCACTTACTCTGGTACTTTAGACTTAGAAGTAACGCGATAATTTTCGGAGTTTTATTGCGGAGATTTACGATTGAATTTCCCTATATCGAATTCCTTCGAGTGAATAGAAAAAAAGTTGACTACCTTCTGAGATTTATCATTATATTTCACAGATCAGATGGCCGTGCAGATTATCAGTCATTGCACTAGTCTTACGGCCAGACATGTAAACACAGTCTAACTGGTAAATATGATCGGACAACAGCACCTTTAGACTGGCTACCTTATAAGCCTTTGTGGCTTGTTATCAATTACCTCTATGAAAAATGAAGGTATTGTTTTTGGCGCGTCTGTGTGTGTGTCTGTGTGTGTGTGTATGTGTATGTGTGTGTTTGTGTTTCCGCACATTTGTAGTCAGCATAACTTCGGAACGCCTTTATGGATTGTGAGGATATTTGGTATGTTGGTAGATCGTAGAAAAACAAAGGTCAAGGTCAAATATGGGCCTCCTGGAGGCTGACCTTGGCACTGCATCAGAGCTTCAGAGCTACCTACATACCAAAAATCATGACAATCCATCCATCGGTTCTTAAGTTATTCTCCTTTAAACATTTTTCAACAAATGCCCCTGCAGTTCCAGAGCAAGCAGCTAGGGAGCTTAAACTCATGTCACTTTATCCCCAGCACAAGAGCTATACAATTGGTATCTGTTAAATTTCCTCTGTCATAACGCACAAGTGCATTGAAGCTATATCATAGAATTAGGTAACAATACCTTCATTGTCATGGAAGAAACATACCATCCTTTTTAATAATGTAATTAACCATTACATAATTAGTAAGTACTAAGCTACAAGTTCCTGTATGTATATATGTACGAACTACCGTTTAGATTTAGTTTCTAAACACGTTATCTCCACTCCCTATAGACGGAAATGTATGTTCTTTTGAGCGAAAAAAATACCTTTTGAGATAGTCTTCCGGGCCCGGCTACCTATACTGACATGTAATCACAGCATGTCTGGGCTGATTTAATTGTATGTTGCTAAAATTCCCAGTTTGGGTCACAACGTACTGTTTTCTATATGTTCTCAAGGTTCCCCTTTGTTCACAACAGACGCCTGCTATACTTATACGCTACAGTAGTAATCAAAATGGATTACCAACTAGCGTGCCGAATAAATAGAGTCAAACTAGAGTCCAACTAGCGTGCCGAAACGATGTCCTTCATAACACCTTAATTAATATGCTTAAAAACAAAGTCACAAAAGTTAATGTTTTCTTGTCCACACATCCACAACAAGAACGCTGCTAACCGCCGTTATGGTAGATTGCCTTGAAAACATCAGGTGTACTTCCTATAACTTTGTAATCAATGAGTCACTTAGACATGTCAACCCCCGAAATTTTTCACCCTACCTGCAGCTATAGTGGATCAGACAGTTGTTTCTGGGATCCCTGGTGCTGGTGAAACCTCTAACTTGAACCAGAAGAGCAAACGTCCCAACATGGCGGACAGCCGCGTACCACCTTGGCAGGAAACAATGACGTCATTGTACCGATGACAGGACGTGGGGCAAACAGGTGTAACCGAACACCGCGACCTTCTGTTACCTGTTCCGTGTTGGTGGTCCATTGAACCGTAAACCCAGGTGTAATACGTGCTGTTACCAAATGTCGTGGTGGGTCAGGCAACTGTTCGTGCGATTCCCTGTGTGGTATTGCTTAACCGATAGCGTGACCAAACTATTACAAGGAACGGATCAAGTTTGAATGTATTGAATTTAGTAAGAGATCCACGAACCAAGGTTCCAGCATTGCTGACTATCGCACCACTAAGCATGCACAGTTGCGCCAGATTGAAGACTTTGTATTCGTGTCATTTGGTAAACTTAAACCTCCACATTTAATGCAGGTTTCAACATTTGGTTTATTTTTTTAATGTTGTTGCTTAGCTTTGTTTTGCATTTCTTTCTCAATTACGCAAATAAGTCAGAAGTACAAAAATGACTTGGAATTTCCCTTGTTTATGGCTAGTACTCATTGTGTCTCACGCTATAAGCATCATTCGCATATCATCATTTTACTATGCCATTATTGGATTTGCCACTCGTGCCGCGCAGCCAAAGTCCTTGATAGAAGAAAAACAGATTGCAGGAGGCATTTCTACTCTGTAATAGATAATGTCATCTTATATGAGAATCACTGAATATTGATAACACGTACCGTTTTACATTGCAATTGGAATGTACCCAGTCAAATCATTTATACATAGTCCAGAAGGAAATACCTAGCCCACCTTTTGATCATTTATGGTACGATTCGGAAAGTTACAGGTGCGACAAAGTGGTTATATGGGCCTTCATGGATATGATAGTAGGCAAATAGACATATATTTAGATGTGAAATAAAGCAGCACAACTATAATATCACTGGTCTAACGTACGGCAAAATTAGAAAAAAGTTCTATCTGCATAATAGACTGTTCCGCTTACGCCTCAAAAAGTTGATTTCCCATCCTTTGTGACAGAGTTACTTGACAGCAGAACAGCCGATTGCAAAAGACATCTAAACAATGTAAAATACGATGATGCCATATGTGACAATCATTGCACATTGATAACACGTTCCAATGTTTCATGGCAATGTACCTACTCAAATCATGTAAGCATAGTCCCGGAGGAGAAACCATGCCAACACTTTACCTGCTAGTAGCTACCGAGTACCAGAAAATCATACATTGATGTCTCCTGAGCATCTAAGGTACGATGGGTTAAGATCCAGGCGGGAAAAGTGGTTTTATAGGCCTTTATAAAAAACAGGAAAAGACAATTACTTTAAAGAGAGATATAAAATAAAAAGCATAATTCTGTTTATTACTTGTCTAACTGACGTCAAATTTAGAGAAAATTTCTATCTCTAGTAGACTGCCCAGTCCCTTGCGCAAAGAAGTACAGAAATGGCCTTGAATTGCACAAGTTTATTACTAGTACAATGTATATGGTTATCCGGTATACGTAATGCTAGCTATAAGCATTATTCGCATATTATCATTTTACTGTGGCATTATTGCATGTTCCCCTTATGTCCCACGCTAATGATGATTCCTGTTAATGCCTCAAAATGTCGGGAAGCAGATTTCCCGTTCTTTGTGGCCAATACACTTACATGATAGCAAAACAGCAGATTGCAAAAGATATTTATACAATGTAATTGATGATGTCATAGATTTCAATCATCACAGGTCCCATTGTTACATTAAATGTACTCAGTCAAATTATTTATACAGGATTGCATTATGAAAAGATCAGTAGTTAATATACATTCATTCAGTTCTCAGCAGCTGTCTCTTTACTCCAGTCGTTTAGTAATAATGTTAAGTTGGAGCAGATGCAAAGAATCGCCAGAAACTTTTTTCGACGTCAAGTTTAAGAATTAAAAAGAAACAGAGGTTTTTCAGTAACTTCAGCCTAACGAACTGCTATTTACCTTCTTATTGCAGTGAGTAGCTTTGCACACAAAATTAAAACAGTATCCATGCCACAACAGAAAAGGCAATGTCTGACTGTAACACAGTCACAAGGTAGTGGCACTAATTTGCAGAAAGAAGTAGGATCCTGAACTCCTGACAATCAAATATTGAAAAAAAGTCGGAAACAAATATCATGTTCCAAAAACTAAACACATGCATGTCAGTATTACCCAGTTTTCTATGTCACATGTGACACAAATGTAGATGTTTGTCACTAGCACGTTAAGTAAGTTCAAGTCCTTCAAGTTTACTCCATCATTTCCGCCGCCTCCGGGTGCACCTCTTCCAGGACGACCTTGAACACCTGACGCGCGTCTCCTCCCTTAGTTCCCACGATGTCCAGCAGTGCGCGTGCGCGGTCCTGGGGCGTGCCTTTGGCCCTGATGACGTCACACTCCTCGGTGCTGAGGACCTCCATGACCTGCAGGTGGTCCAGGACCGGTTCCACGTGCCTCAAAGCCTGCACCAGCTCAGGACGGTGTCTGGTCAGATGGTCCTCTCTGTCCTGTACCTCATCAGCCTGCCGTGTGGCCATGAGCATGTCTGCTGCACGGGCGTCAACCTCCCCCAGGACGGACTGGAACACCCGGAGTGCGTCTTCTCCCTTCCTCCCCACGGTGTCCAGCAGCGCACGTGCGCGGTCCTGGGGCGTGGCGTTGGCCCTGATGACGTCACATTCCTCCACAGTCAGGATGTCACGTGCCTGCAAGTGGTCCAGGATTGGCTCCACGTGCCGCAAGGCCTGGACCAGTTCTGGGCGGTTCCTGGTGAGCGGGGTCTCCACGTACAGCAGGTCACTGACCTGTTCTGTGAACCCGAGGATGGGGTGGACGATTCTACCGCCCTCGGCTGCTGCCTTGCTGATCTCCTCCATGCCGTAGGAGTAGAATTCCTCCCTGTGTTCCTTCAGTGCACGAGCGCTGAGCACCTTCTCGACCGTGCCTGTTCCTGGGCTGCTTTCTTCCAGCACCTCAGCGATGATGTTCTCCAGCTGCTGCAGCATCTTGCCACACTGCTCCTTGTCACCTTGTACACTCCGGACACAGATGTTGACTGTACGGCCGTCCGGAGAGAGTTTGATCAGACCTTCCACATCCCCGTCCACACACTTGGCGCCATCTCTCCACAGCCGCGGGCGATTCTCCTGCTCTCTCATCAGGCGGGTCTGCACTTGGGGGAAGAACCCGGAGGAGAACATGTCAGTGGAGTCGGCACACTGGACTTGCTTCCCGAAGTAGACCACCTTTGGCTCATGTGCAGATGTTGGTTGCCACTTGTCAGCAGGCATGGTTTGCGTCAGCAGCCCTGGGAAGATGAAGGTCTGTCCGTCATAGGAGTGGCAGAGCTGGAACTCTTGCAGCAGAGTGATGAGGAGATCCACGTCAGCAACGTCTTGGAAAACGCGCTTGATCTCCTCCCTGGTGACGTAGTCTTCGCTCGTTCCCTCCAGGCGGGGAATGGGGAAGTTGACCGGTGCCATCATTGGACCGATGACGTCTGTGCAGAGCCAGTTGGGCTTCAGGACAATGATGGGATCAGAAGAACTCGGACAGATGAAAATGATCTGTAACACAATCTTGAGTCACAATCAGCATATTAAGTCAAATCCATTAGTGCGCTTTCATGTATGGGATATCATTTCGTAAGTATTAGTCATTACAATATAAGCCGCAACATCAACATCGAGTCCAATTGTTTATGGAAGTGGTTGGAGCAAACTGGACAAGATAGTGCGTAGTGAAATAATTTGGGGGCATATCGATCTACGAGTTATGTGGAAAATATTCTTGCGAACAGATCTCAACTTTTTCTTCAGTTTCAAGATTGAAGAACCAGCTATTCTTCTAACAGCTGAACATAACAAGGAGGGGCAGCCTACCTCCCCGAGATGGTCCAGATACCGTGTAGACTCCCGCAGGAAGTCCTCATCCACATGAGGGTCGATCTCTTTGACTGCGTCCAGGTAGCCTGGCCACCTCAGGACAGGACACTTCGGGCTGCACTTCTTCTGGCACCAGCTGGGCAGCTGCTTGGTGATTTCTGCGCACAGCTTGGGCATCTTCCGTTGGTGCTGTGCAATTTGTAAATGCAAATAAACCATTTTAATGGTGGGTGTACTTTATCATCATGTTTCTAAAAGCCTCACATATTTGTTTTATATTTGACCATTTTCATATATCAGCCACTATAGCCTTATTGCAGATACTTACCTCCAACATACTCGTTTTCATCTTAGCGAGCAGTTTCTTCAGTCGGTCCATCTCAGGTGTTCTGGTCTCCTTACAGTTCATCAGGATCACTTCGTCTGAGATACGGAGGTGATCGTTGAACTCTGACGTCATTAGCTGCAGAAGTTGGGCAGCTCGGCGTTTTCCTAAATGTTTATATCAAAGCGGAACGTTGCAACAAAAGTTAAAACCTGTATTAGTTTCATTTCTGTCATGACAAACCCATTACAACGATCCCTCTGCTGAGGAGCATGTGTAGAACACCAGTTTCTAGAAGATTGCTTTCCTATGCCCTTACAGACAATTCTATTTACCTGTGTTGGGTGACACTTTGTCTCCATGGCTGGCCACTAAGATGACGTCAGGCTGCCGGTTTGGGTTGCAGGACTTGATGAAGCAAAGCCACCAGTGAACCTGCAGGGAAACATTTGATAATCGATTCCCATATCATAGCTGCCTAGATGATGTCAGAAAAGGTCGACAACATTTGTAAATCGGCCTTGACTTTGACGCAGACTATGACACAGAACATAGGCAAATACATGTATGTCAAACATAAAAAGGTTCTAAATGCGTTGCAACTTTGAATACTATAACGGTACATATCGTTTGTTCTCGTGGCTGTAAATGTACCTGCTTTTCTTGTGTCTCAGTGTCGTGCTCGATGTTGTACAGCACAATGAAGATGGTGTTCTCTGCATCCATGAACATACTGTGGGTCACCGCGTACTCCGACTGACCAGCAAAATCCCACAGGCTGACCTCCCCCACCCCCGGAATATGGAACGTCCCAACATCCACCCCTGGGGTGGGGTCGTGAGGCTCCTCGGCTGACGATGATTTACTCCATGCTTGGAGCAAAGCAGGAACGAGGCCCTGTTGGACAGCATTTAGTCATTAGTTCTCACAAATTCCAAATTGAAAAGGCAGAAATAACCGCATTCTTAGATCCTCTACAACAAATGATTTGCCAACTTTGTAATTTAGAAAAAAATTGAGGATGAGTGTCATTTTGTAGTAGATTGCACATAATATAGCACTACTTATATGAAAGATAAGTTGTCAGAAAATTTCATATTCCTTATGAAACTTGAACCATGTATATGTATCATTAGCTCCATATGTTCGTACATCTACAACAGCGAGAAGAAATTGAAGCTGTAAATAGTAGATCAGAATAGTCTACAAAGTTTAAGTAAGATATGACTGTAATCAATTCTTGTTAGGACATGACCTGTAATTAGATTGGACGAGCGCAAACGTACAAGAAAGGTATTTTATTCATTCATTCATTCATTATAATTGCTTAAACTTTGCCTACTCTCTAAATAGGGAATCTAGTATTTATTTCTTTTTATCACATCATCATGCATAAAGTGACCTTGGTAAGATTGAGGAAGCAAGGGGGCTTTTACGTACTCTTATCAGACTTATCTTCAGTGTTGACTTTCCCGTTCCCGCCATCCCAAACACGAACGTCTTACACCTGTCGGTCTTCACTCCGCCAGACTTCTGCAGCAGCTCGTGGAACGACCTTTCCTGCACCGCGTCCTTGATTCCGAAAGGAAACAAAATGCAAACAATGGGGTGTAACCTCTAGCAGAACCTTAAAGTTAATAATGAAAGGAGCAGAAAATGATTAGCCTTGATCCAGCCTTGTTAGCTTGGGGAGCAGACTAAAGCTAACAAGGCTGGACTCCAGGCTAGAAAATGATACCAACTTGTTTTCACTATAATGAACATTCAATCATGAGACTTGTTTGGATCTTTATGTAAAACAAAACGTCCATAAGTCAACGGGAAGTTTGCCTACCTTCAGTTTACGCCGAGTCTGTGGATTGACAATACTTAACGGAGTCTTCCCATCCTGTAAGTGCAATGTGGCGTGCACGTGAGGTATTGCGTTACACTTACACTCCCGGTCTACACGTATACACTTTATATTGTTGAACGCTTTTTTAGTTTTGTAACGGTTTTTGTTTTGTTTGTTTCTAGTTACGGTACACCCCCCTCAATTATTGCAAATAGATTTGTTTTTGCATTTATAGGCCAATTTATGCATAGGTCTGTGTAATCAGCATTATGGGCACATAATCAGTTCAGTACACACACACACACCCATATATGTACTTGACTTTCCCACCAGACTGTTCCCACCAGGTTGGTACAATCTGAATTGACCGACAAGTAAAACCGTCAGTCGATATATATAAAACAGGAGCTTCGCAGTCACGCGACTGCGGTTGGCTATATCACACCGTATGAATATTGTGGCAAATCATCCCTCATCATATATCATACAATGCAATATAACATAACATTTCTCTAACTTGTTCTATTGAAGCAGCTTAGCTTGTCTTTACCAGATACTTGTAGAAAAGGGGCGTGGAACGTACTTATTATGGCTGTTTCTAGTAAAAATAGATAAAGAAACGTGTGTGCACAAATTGATTCCAGCTCATTGAATCACGAGCAAACTTCACCTTGTTTTTCCTTCCTCTCATAGCTATGGAAATAACTATGTGTACATGTAGTTAACATAGCACTATAAAGTTCCATATCCAATTAAGCAGTATCCAGTAAGGTCCGACTGAAACAAAAACCATACCTCATTCCTGGCCGTCACGTCTGCCCCATGACGAATCAGAAGCTCATTAGTCCCGGTGTGACCCCCAGCAGCAGCATCATGCAAAGGTGTGTTCTGGTCCTGCCCAGGGAGGAATATCAGGGTCAGTAGGGATGGGATCAACACGGACAACAGTTATCACATTATATAAGAAACAGTATGTGGTGACGTACACGTACATTTATTCTCATCAATATGAGGTTTGTGTATTAATAGTGGTCAATTTATACAAAGGTTTGTGCAATTAGCCCTGTCGCATAAATTACGTCATATATCAGATAACGATATATGATATACATTTGTCTAACTAAGTTGTCCCTATGGAAATTGTATCACAAATCGATCCCAGAATGTACAAACAAACTTCTCATTGGTCTTCCTTTCTCTCATAGCTATGGAAATAACTATGTGTACATGTGTGCATAACTATAGCACTATATGAAGTTCCATATCCAATTAAGCAGTAACCAGTAAGGTCCGTCTGAAACATAAAAACCATACCTTATCCCTCGCCGTGACGTCTGCCCCATGACGGATCAGAAGCTCACAAGTCCCGGTGTGGCCCCGAAGAGCAGCCCAATGCAAAGGTGTGTTCTGGTACTGTACAGGGAGGAATATCAGGGTCAGCAGGGATGGATTCCTCACGAACGACAGATATCACATTATGTCAGAAACAGTATGAGGTGACGTACACGTACATTTCTCCTCATCAATATGAGGTTTGTGTATTAATAGTGGTCAATTTCTAGAAATTTGTGCAATTAGCCTTGTCGCATAAATTATGTCATATATCAGATAACGATACATAATATACATTTTTCTAACTAGGTTGTTCCTACAGGGATTGTATCACAACTGATCGATCCCAGAATGTGCAAACAAACTTCATATCGGTTTTCCTTTCTCTCATAGCTATGGAAATAACTATGTGTACATGTAGTTCATATAGCACTGTAAAGTTCCATATCCAAGTAACCAGTATTACCCAGTAAGGTCCGTCCGAAACATAAAAACCATACCTCATTCCTCGCCGTCACGGCTTCTGCCCCATGACGGATCAGAAGCTCACAAGTCCCGGTGTGGCCCTTTTCAGCAGCCCTATGCAAAGGTGTGTCCTGGTCCTGTACAGGGAGGAATGTCAGGGTCAGTTGGGATGGGTTCATCACGGACAACAGTTATCACATTATATAAGAAACAGTATGTGGTGACGTACACGTACATTTCTCCTAATCAATATAAGGTTTGTGTTAATAGTGGTCAATTTATACTATATATTTTTTTCCTCAGCAGTATCAGGTTTGTGTGTTGATAGTTGCCAATTTATACAAAGGTTTGTGCGATTAGCCTTGTTGCATGAATCATGTCATATATCAGATAACGATATATGATATACATTTGTCTAACTAAGTTGTTCCTATGGACATTGTATCACAAATCAATCCCAGAATATGCAAGCAAACTTCTCATTGGTCTTCCTTTCTCTCATAGCTATGGAAATAACTATGTGTACATGTGTGCATAACTATAGCACTATGAAGTTCCATATCCAACTAGAATTCCGAGACTTCATACCTCCATGAAATATGATCTTGATATGTAAATGTAAATTTCTTCTTTAATTGTGCAAATGACCTCTGCATTAACATGATATATGCATCGTGATGTATGTTAAATTTTGATTAACTTACAGATGTCTCATCATTCACCATTACGAAACCATAGAATTTTCGCATTAATTATGCAAATTAGGTCATCATTTGCATAATTAGTATCTGTTGAAGTTCCGCCTGCCATAGGTTACATACATTACATGTATGTAAGTAGTATAATGTAAAACACTGTACTTATAGAATTTCCTCATTAATTATGCAAATAAAGTCCTCATTTGCATAATTTGCATTCAATTATGTACATCTCTCTCTCAGCTACCTACACACCAAAAATAATGAAAATATGTTGTTCCTGTCTGGACTTATTGGCTTTTAAACATTTCGCCAGAAAGTGCCCTGCAGTTCCAGAACAAGTCGCTAGGGGGCCCAAACTCATAAGACTTCTTCCCCAGCACGAGAGCTAACTTCCATCAAAATTTCATGACCCTAGCATGTCCAGATCGCGAGATATCGTAAAACACTGTAATTATAGAATTTCCTCATTAATTATGCAAATAAAGTCCTCATTTGCATAATTTGCATTCAATTATGTACATCTCTCTCTCAGCTACCTACACACCAAAAATAATGA